AGTGCCCAAAAAATAACAATTGTAAACCGCTTTGTGACTCTGGTCTGTGAAAGGCGGTATATAAATAAAGCTTACTTACTACTTACTTACAGAGGGGCTCGGCTGTGCTCTGACCAATCAGAGCTGATCATCAGAGCGGAGATAGAACGGGAGTTAGAACTAGGGCCAAACAAGCAGAGTTTGTGGCCGTAAAGTGTGGATTTAAACAAAACCGAAGGATTTAAGAAGAAAAAAAGTTCAGGACAAAAGGGACACTAAAATCCCCACAAAATCCGACCTTTATGAAAGCTATAGGTTCTCTGTCAGGTTCTCTGTCAGCTGAGGTCGCGCTGTTTTAGTTTACATTGAGTTCTTCTGGGTAGCCCACGTGAATTTAGTCTGGTTTAGTCTGCAGTACCGCGAGAATCTCCCGAGCACATGGTTCTTCAGCTCCAAGCTAGTAATACCCTATCCAGTTATTATAATAGATCCATGATTTACACTTACAAAACTAAAACCTGTCAAATGTACTGCTCTATAGTTAATAGAGAGATGGTCATCCTAATTCGGTCTTGTTGTTCTGTATTTATAGATATGTTTGTGTAGGAAAAGGAACGTTCATGTAGCCCTGACGTATCATGTGTGTCGCTTTCAGACCCAAGCCTCTGCAGGAGATCCCGCCCTTCCTGTGTCCCGACCGGAACAAGGTGAACTTCATCCCCAACAGCGGCTCTGCCTTCTGCCTGGTCAGCATCCTCAAGCCCTTACTGCCAGCCCCCGAGCTGAGCTTTCGTCCTGGGGTGGGCCTGCGCAGTCTGTCCCCCTCCCTGGTGCCTCTGTCCACTCAGCCCTGCCTGCTGGAGGAGCCCGAGAGCTTCTGAGATTACCGGACATTTGACTCACACCCTCTGCTCCAGAACTTATCAGCATGCCAGCTCAGCTCTCTCTCTCTCTCTGATGTCCTTCTCTCGTTGAAGCGCTTCCCACTGCCTCCCAGAACGCGGCTCCTGTGCGGCCGTTTTCGCGGTTCACATTTCATTGCTTTCTTCTACTTTTAGCGCTGGTAATGGTCCTGTTTTTCAGAGGAAACGGCAGAGGACTGACTTTTAGTTCATCATATTATACCGTAGCGCCTTTCCACGGACATATCTCTTTTTCTATCTGTAGTTATTCTCTTGTAATGAAGTATGCCTTCCATCAAAGAAAAAAAATGTCACCGGTTTCTTTTGGCGACCATTAGAACCAACCGTCGGAGGCCGATTTTGGTGCTACCAAATGTATTTTCGTAGCAAAACTTGAAAGGTCGCAAAAGAAGACATTTTAAAACGTGCCTGATGCTTTTGATCCCGTCCGTTTCCCCAAAAAGCAAAGAGCTGGGATCATGTCTTTGATCTCTGCTCTGTGTTGGCAGTAGATACACAGAAGAGGGGCGTGCTTAATGAAACAGCATGTTAGAGCATCTGTAAACCAAATCCAAATATGTTTTACACTTTACAAGCCACGCACGGCCTGTGGAGGATTGCAAAGTGGACTTTCGTTGCCTTCTTACCGTGGTAGCAGTGAAGCGGCCCCTCTCTTTGCTGTGTATCTTTGGAGAAATGGGCCCGGGCCTAGAAATGCGCAGTTGTTCAAACCTGTGTGTGCTACTACGTCACAAACTAGGGATGTCACGATATTAAATGTTAGAGTTACGATTATTGTGAGGGGGAAAAACACAATGCCTTTTACGATTATTTACAATTATTGGCAAATCTTTCCTTTCTGGAATATAATAATAAAACCACATTGGAATAACTGTGCAAGTGTCCCTAGTGTGCTCCAGACAAGTACATAGATAAAAAGCTTAAAAGTACAGATTTTAAAGGAGCAATATGTGAAAATCTTACCAAAAGTGGTACTGCAGCCTCCCCCACTCTCAACAACAAATAGCCCAACACCTAAAACCAACATCTTTTTCACAAAGGCCCTGATATAAATCCTGGTTTTATTCCTTATTTTGTCGTTAATAATTTGAGAATCATAACATAACTCATGATAACTTTTTTTAGTACAGCAGCCACATGGTACTTTACCAGTGAGATTAGCTCGACGTGGTGAGTTCTGGCGCCCGAATCACAGACTTTCTGATTGGTCAAACGGTGGAGGGTGGGATATCTCTGAACTACAGTTATCAGTTAAAGAAGTATCGGAAAGAGCCTGTTTATTAATGGTCGGCACTAGATATAAACGAATCGGGACGAAACCGGAAGTAATAATCCTACTTTCGAATTAGTTTTAAACGAATAAGTCCTGAAGTGGTACTGGTTAAATTTTAGGCGTCTGAGTAAGATGGCTTTTGACATATTAGGGCCAATTAATGTTGACTTGGCATCACATAATGCTACTTTAAACAAACTAAAAAAAGTGAAGGAAACAATTGACACTGAAATGGATCAACAAAAACCGTTTCAAAAGTGCAAGATCATTAAAGTGCTCTGTTTAAACGGATAACAGCTGTTAGCAAAGCGAGAGTCCTGCCAGAGGGAAGAAGCTGGAACATAGCTTCTCCAGGGGCCTTCAGAACTGGCAACTCACAGCTCAATATGGGTTCTATCAATTAAACCGTTCAAACTTTCAATGTTCCGCGACTACATACTCACTGGCTGATATTAACCCAGATTGTCGTCGAGAACAACCAAACAGAAGGTATTATAAAATAGATCCATTCTGTAATAGTAAGTTTTGGTTTTAGGAAGCAATAGTTGTTATTTTCAGCCCTTCATACTGGGTACAGACAGTCAAAAGTATCGAGATAGAGGTATTGGACATGAGCTGGAAGCTGGAAACTGGAACCCTTTAAAAATCCTTTAAAAAACACCCTTTGAAACCAATTGATTGAAAAAGATTTTGTTAAGATTTGCTTCAAAAGATGTCACGATCTTTCTTTTTGTCATACATACAATTATATCGTAATAATCTTGACATCCCTAGTCACAAACCCTGTTCACTGCCCCTCTGTTAATATTTTCTAATCGTTCTTGACATTTGCTTTTCTTTTCCATCTACTGCTGTTATTCCTGTTGTGTTGCTCAGCTTTGTCTTGTTGTAGAAAGATTTCAGAAGAACCTGCCTCCCTGTGGCTCGCAGGGCTAGTGTGGAGAGATCAACCAAACACGAGTCGATTCTAAATAGCAAATATAAATAATTAGCTTTGTATTATATCATATTACACCCTGTTTGTTAAAGAATCTATCCAGTAAAAAAGCACATGCCAAGTTTACATTTCAAAACTTGGAGACTACACCCAATACATTGCAAAGATATATTTATTATGGTCGGTAAAACAATAACTGAATTTTATAGAAAGAAAATTTTGCATATGTTAAAGAGTCTTTCTATGAATCAAAATACATTACGTAGTGTAGCTGAATTTCAATATTTAAACAAAGAATGACAAAAGCTATAAGTTATACTGTTATTATATTTATTTTAATTCCAAATAATAGCGTTTTAGAGGTTTGTGTGTTCTGATTGGTTGATCCCGTCCCCACGCCGAGTCCCGCCCCCTTGTATATGCCCATGCTACTGGCTGAAATGGGTCGGAACAGTACCGGATTGTAAATACTTTGGAGGTGCACTGTGTTTGTAATATTGGCTGCCGTATATAATGGAATGAGTCAACACTTGTACTATAATACGCCCTCCGATCAGTACTGTGAAATAACATGTGTCATTGTGAAGAATAATATTGTATTTATTTATGAGACTGGCGGAGTGTAATTTCGGGAGAGTTTTGAGAATGATTTAGAATACATTTTTTTGCACATCTCAGGTGGGAATGCGAGATGATAATGCTAACGTGCTAACATGCTAACCATATGCTAACATGCTAACACTATAGCCCAAGAATCTGCAGCTGCTCTCTGTTGCCGGAAGTGGAGGATTCGTTCAAAACTAGTAGCAGAGACGTAGAGAAACGTGTGGATGTCTTCAAACCAACTTAACAAGAGCTCTTTCCTTGATGAAATCCACTGGCCGAACAACAATCAGAACAAAAAAGACAGTTTTTGTAAATTTGCAGTATTTTCAAAGTTTTTGTTTTTGTTGAATGAGGCTCCCAACACAACTGTTTGCTTGTCCAGTTTATTGGAAACAGAACTGCCAAGACTTCATGTTTAGTCCCTTAAATGAAATAAAAGGCATAGTTGAATTAAATAAAGCGTTTGTACTTCATTAAAATACATTCTTGTCTTCAGTGTCTGAATCAAAAAGTAAAGTGAAAATATACAGCGACAATTTCCTTCAAAACAAAATGCAAAATTGAGTTGATTCAAATACATGATGCATATTTGAGTAACAATAAATACACTGTGAAAAGGATGCATAAAATAACATGATATTCACATATAGTCGTTTTGATGCAGAAGTTTCTCAATAGTCATAATTACGAAAAATAATTATTGTTGTCCCATCACACACACATACCCTATCTAAAGAAAAAGCACTGTGATTCTATATTGAATAGTGTTTGGTTGGGCTTTGGCCTAAAATATCTCTTTTACAGGTTTTTCACAGGATTATTTTGTACATTTCACAAAATAAACTAACAGCTGAATGCGACAGTAAGTAGGTTTTAGCCAGCAAAAGTAAAAAGAGGACTTTATGGAAATCCCTGTATGCTAATAATAAGAATAATAATGTTTAGGCTCATTAAGACATCATATATTGAATTTGCAGCAGCTTAGGCAAACATATACAGTTTAGCATTTGTGGTTCAGTAGTGTTGATAAATATACAGAATGAGGTTCATAGCACGACATAATATTCGAGGTTTTGAACAATCCCTTATAACTTTAAAATGTCTACATAACAAAATGACCCACGCCCTGAAACCCAAACAAGCTAACGCCAGGCTCCAAAACAAACATCTCCATCTGCACATACGGTTTGTTTTTGTACATAAGTGGGTTGGTGCTGAATTAACAGTCATTTGCAGAAAGAAAGGGGTTTGGCTTTTACAATTTTCAGTGAATGTGGGAAGTTCAGGCGTTCAGGAGTTCGTCTGCCGAGCGTCCGATGGCGTCCGGGTTGGACAGAGGATCCAGATCGGCGAACAAGTTGAACCAAGCGGACATGTCTTTGGATGATCCTGGGGCACCTGCAAACAAAGAGGGACATTAAAAACCTCATTATTATTATGAAGTGTGTGTGTGAAGTTATTATTATGTAAAAACAGAGGTTACCGGTCTTGGCTGCACTCGGTGGTGGCTGTGCTAACGGACTCTGGCCTGTAGGGGGCTGCATTGGTGCGGTTTGAAACATAGGAGGTGTCGCCCAGCCTGTAATAGATAAGCCACACAATGTTACAATAATTAGAGAATAAATGATCTACATATAAAATACACCAGCAAACAGCCATATGATTCTATTTGGTGAAACATAGTCCTAAAATGAGGTCAAATTGTGACAAGTGCTCTGATGTGTTCTATCTTCTGTTTGGTGCATACTGAGTTGGTCTTGCACAGTTTTTCCAATGTGGTTTTACTGCAAATGACATATACATTCTTGAACCTTGAACTTCAAACATTATATGCAATGTTTGCCATTGCAATAAACGACATAAATTATGTTTTTCATAACGTTTCAATAATTAAGCTGCATTTATTCCTTTATTTAGGATATAACCTACAATAACCTACAATATACATTGTAGGTTACCAGTAGTGGTGGTTTTATTGCACTTCAAGTGAGTCTAATTTTAAAGCTGGGGTATTTAAGTTTTTGTTTCATAAATAACACATTTTCTTTGTTTCAACAGAAAGAATCTTGTAAAAGTAAAGTTTTGTGAACAAATCTGACCACAACATGCTCTTTTCATCTTATGAGATAACTTGTATCCGTTGTAAATGTTGCATGTGTGGAAGAAAGAGTCCTGTGAGCCTCTGTTTGGACATGAAAAAGCAGGTCTAAACATATGACAGAGGGGAATATACATCTATGTGAAATAGTGATTGATCCAAACAAAGAAAGTTAGATAGATGTTAGTACACAAGTTCTACGTTATGTGGTTTGAAAGTTAGGTACCTCAGCTTTGAGTAAAACAGGAATAAACAATCATATGTACCTTACTTATTTTTAGACCGGGTTGTCAAACTGGTTCCACAAAGGGCCGGTGTGGCTGCAGATTTTAGATCCTCAGGTTGGAAGTAAATCCTGCAGCCACACCGGCCTTTTGAGGACTGGTTTGACACCTTGTTTTAGACAAACAAAACATACTGTATGCCTTCTACCAGCAGGGGGCAGTGTGACAGACCTGTGGCGCTGAGGCTGTGGTCGAGCAGCTGTGAGGGCAGAAAGCCTGTGGGGCTGGTGGGCTCTGCTGCTGCTGCTGCCGTGGAGGAGGAGGCCCCCACACTGCTGCCTGATGCTGCTGCTCCACTCGGGGCGGATGAAGGGACAGTTGGACTGTCAAAAACGCCAAACACATCCTGCCACTCTTTGGTGAACTCATCAGAGGAACCAGGCCCAGGGCTGAGGAGGTCTTTGAGGAACGCCATGTCCCCTTTGTCAGCGTCGTCCAGACCTAAACACCAATCAGTATTAACAACAAATGTTTTTCTGAGTACATTGCAAAATATTACATCTAGGGGACTTTAAAGGACGCGAATTACAAACATATCTTGAAGAAATGTGTAATCACAGAGAAAAGAATAGCTTCCTTCATTTTAGGTTTATATACACACATCTGCTTAAATCAATACAAAGCCGAAACAATGATTTAAAGTAGAAGACAGAAACCCTAAATCAGGTCTAAATGATCCAGGGCTTGTCAAGTTTGGAAAAATCAGCAACCCTAATCCTAAAAATTTTTTAGGGTATTTCTGTGGCGGGACTTGAGGATAGCACAAAGTTTAAAGTTTAAACAATGAGGAATTCATTATTTCAACCAGTCACCCAGATGTCTCAATCAAACAGTCGACATTATAGTAAACCATCTTAAACAAAAGTAGTCAGAAGAAAAAGCAGGATTCATCCCAGACAAAGCTCTGTTAAAAAGTTGAGAATGTAAAGAACAGCGTTAGGGTTAGTGTCCGCAGAAGAGGCGACAGAAGCAGCTAGCGCACACGCACACAGAGCTGGGCAGCGGTTTACCAGTGTTGGCCGGTTGTGCTCGACTAGACTGGAAAGCCCATAGCTGCTGTGGGGGTCCCGGCTGGGGAGGGGGCAGGAGGGGGATGATTACAGGAGGAGGCGGAGGAGGGGGTGGAGCCTCGTCACAGGCCATAAGCAACAGATCGTCGCCGTTGCGGTTCGATGACGGACTGAAAAGGCTTTGTGCAGCTGGAGTGAAGGGATGGAAGGATTCTGGAGCTGAGACGGATCGGTCAAAATCAATAAACTAAAAATAGTTTTCCGGAGCGGACTGTGAACACTGTATAGGACTTACCGATGTCACTTATTTGGCTCAGTCCATCCATACTGGGGGTCCGAGCTACAAGAGAAAGACACAAAGATTAAAACTGTTCTGTCTCTTGGGTGTTTGTGACTTCCTGTTACTATTCTGCTTGCCCTAGAATAGACAGTACTTTATACTTGCTTCTTATGCTTATTTTTGATGCTTCCGTAAGAGATTTTATTTTACTTTGTACAGAGTTATTGTTTATTTATCTTGTGCCGTGTGCTCCTCATTCCTACTGTTCTGTCACTGGTGATGCAACACTGAAATTTCCCCACAGTGGGGTCTTTTAATCTCACAATGGAAATAAAAAGCATTGATTTAGCTGCTCATAAAACACTAAAAGCTTGTCCATATTTACTCCTAAATTTGCACGCACCTTCAGACGAGCGTTCCGTCGCCTTGCTGTCATCCAACGACACCAAACTACGGCAGAAGAAAACAAGGGTATGCTACGGATTACCCAAAGAAAACTTGATGGATTATCCCAATATAATTTTTAACTACAGGAGAATACTTGCTATAAGCCGTCTCTACACTAGGACTTACCTGTGGCCGAGCACAGGCCTGCATTGGGACTCGTGTCTGATTTGAACATAGCTGAAGTGATTGAAAGCAAAATCGCAAACAGAAAAAAAACAGAAGCAGGTTGAAGCCAATGAAGACATGAAACCTAAAAGTTAGACAATGAAGGAGATGGAGCTCAAACGGGACTGGTCTTTGGTCTCTTTTTTTATTTATTGTGCTATTAAAATAAGTAATTCAGACATGTTTGTTGTACCTGTCTGTGTTTCTTTGCAGGGCTTCCTCTTTCTTGTCTTCTTGACTTTCTGTAATCAAGTCTAGAGGGTCCCTCAAGTCCTACAGCAAAGAAAAGTGTTGGTATTTTAACGTCAATGCTTTTGATGCAACACCGAGCTACAGTCTGTAATCAGTGATCCTCAGTTATCCACCTTGATGCTTGTGAATTGGTAGGCAACGTGGCCCTTAAATGCTTCATGGATCTTCGACATGGCGTGAGCTGTCCTCTCCCAGAACTGGAGTAGAGTGGTCTGCCATAGAAAAAGCAATGACGTTCAATGTTCATAATTATTAGTGTGTAGCAGAAGTAAAGATAAAACTAGTTTAAGAAGATTCACCTTGACTTTTTGGTAGAAATAAAAGTGTTTCTTCAATACCTGACAGTAGTAGGTTAGCAAACGTGGTAATAACATCGCTAACCTACTACTGTCTGGTATGGAAGATCCAAACTAGCTTAAAAATTGAAACCAGTACCTGATATGTACAAAGTGAATGAGACAGCATGTTACAGCGACTGGCTCCGAGCATGTCTACTTTCTGACAAACATCATTCTTCAGCTTCTCAAACTGTGTTTTGGTCCCTCTGACCTGGGACTGAACCTAGTCAAAAGCAATGAAATGTTAAGCATCAGACATGTTTGGTTTGCATTGTCAAAGTATCACTCGTTTCTTCATACTTTGCGAAACTTCTCCATTTGTTTGTACGTGTCCGGGTCCAGTTCTTGTGAGACGTCTTTCATCCAGAGAAGCGCTCCTCTGTACTCGGTTCGTGCCTTCTCCATTCGACTGACCGTCAGCAGCGTGTCCTGGATCGCTCTCCTCCTAAAGGTTTCCACTTCCTGGTGCAAGCGATGCAACGGCGCGCACAGAGCCATCCTAAAAGAACAATAGATTCATAGAGAAGACTGCAATAGACCAGAGGTGTCACACTTATGTTGGGCAGGGGCTCAGATAACAGAATTAGAATTGTCTTTTACATAATGAAGGCATTTTGACATTGTTTCTGAAAAGATGTGTTTATAGTTTAAATTTAAGCAAAACTGGATATATAAAAATGGATAAATATAAAGTTAGACATATTGTTTAATATTTAACAATTTAACTTATATATATAAAATTGGGGGTTTTTCCTGAGACAATAGATTATGCAAAACATGCCTTTGTGACCCATTACCATCAATGCGGCAAGTAAAAAAATAACAATAATAATAATAATAATAGTTTAACATTTTAGGGGCCTCTGACATTTTTATCACGGACCAGATTTGGCCCACGAGCCAAAGTCTGACATGCCTGTAATAAACAATGAAACGGTGATATTTTCTACACTGACCGTTGCTTCGCGGAGGAGCACAAGGCTTTGCTGGTGACGTTCATCATGTTTCCAGCTTTAGTCTTATCATGTTCTCCCTGGAAATGCAGAAACAGCCCGAGCTCATTTTCCTCTTGGGATAACCCTGGGAAACAAAGTAAGTGAGTAATGATTATTTATATAGCACATTTGACAGACCAAGATCACCCAAAGCCCCCGAACAACGCCATCCATTCACTCATTACATTCATACAGATTGTACAGTTTTTATACAAACACATTAATAATAGTAAGATTGGTAATTTTATCATTTATAAGTCTGCTTTTTAACAGGAGCTTACTTGAAATCCTTTGCTGATATCGCTCAATCACCTTCAGCAGCTCTGTGCACGTGGACTGAACTGAGCGGAAAAACTGAAAGAAATAAAAAACATGACAATTTTGATTATTGCCACAAATGTAACCGACACAACGTAAGCACACAATATATTTATGTATTTAACCTAAAGAGCTTTTATATCAAATCTTAATTGGATGGACAGAGATATATACTGTATATCTCTCTCTATTCAATTACTTTTGAATTGTGTTTGATTCAAAAAGGCCTTGTAGAAGTATTCAGGAGAGCAGGAATGAGTCTTAACAGGTCTGAGTCAAAAGTATAGTGGAGATATCACTTTAGCACCACGGATAAGATGCAGTTATGTTTAAAGTGCATCTTTAAATTCAACTCAATGTATTCTTGTATAGCCCTAAATCACAACAGTGGTTATCTGCGAGGACTTTAGAAACTATTGAATTCGCCAACACAGATCAGGGTCCAACAGACACTCCTTTATGTTCAGTAAATTAAAAAATGACAAACTTGCAACAAATTACACTGATTATAGAATACTAGGTAAGACTTTACTGTGCTATGGCTTTGATAGTTTCCAGTAGTATCTTTAAAAGGTTTCTGTGGTGGCAACTTTAGCCCATTAACAGTTAACAGTAGAATAAATCATCATTGCCTGGAGTAAATCTACCCGTCACAGCAGAGCACCTCTCAGTTTGGCCATCGCTGATTTAATAGATTTGTTCTAATATTCAGGAAAGTTACAAGCTTTTTGATGTGTTCCAAAGAGGCAGGTGGCTGCATCCAATTGATATGAATCACACCGCCTCTGACTCGCAGCAATATGTCTGCAGAAACACTGCGCGCAACCCTGATAAACCACCAAATCTATGTAGCAGAGAACAGATCTTTAGAACTGAAGGATCAAAATCTCGTTTACAGTAAGCTTGATTGGCATAATAGCACTCATATCAGAAACTAAGCACGAAATAACAGCGGTGCCTCCAGGCAGGGTAATGTGATTATGGATTGAGGCGGCGCTGCAAAAGAACAAAATCAAATCATCTCTGAACGCCCTTATGCAAATTACTGAGATTTACTGATACACATTTTTTTCATCGACAAAAAGTTGCATCATATTGTCATCTTTAACTTCTTTTCCGGTTGTCGTTGTGTTTGGGAGAGGCACATTACAGTGGGACAGAAGATTCTTGTTCCTGTGTCAACAATGGCTTCCCAGTAACAGTGAAATACTACCACCTAACAGCCTCACAGGACACACTGTCACTTCTAAATGCCAAGCCCCGGCCAGTTAAACAGATCTTTTCTTGTTTGCTGAGAAACTACACAGCAGACAGAGACACACTGCAACCTTTTGAACAAAGTTAGATTAGTGTGGCCCTCATAGACTCCTTTACAGGTGAGTGAAATAGTCACCGCAAAAATTATAATTTTTTGTCACGAACATAAGAATAAGGGCATCATTGAGACGGATAAAAGTCTAAGTACTTCAAAAACATTTCCTGTGTCACAAAAGCTTTATTATAACTTGTACTGTTAAAACCCAATAACTACAAAGGCCTCATGATGAATTTGCTTCATATTTCTTTCTCAGAATGATTGCCCATTCAATTTTAGAACATAATTTTACCTCAAGCTTTGCATCTAGATCTGCATCAGACGCCACCACATACTCGTCTTCTTTCTTTCCTGTGGCTTTAATCAGCACCTGCTTGGTTTTCCAAAATTTCTTTTGCATCCGAGCCATCACAGAGCTGTCATCCAGCATGTCCCCCATAAACCTGTGAATGTGATCATACAGCCATATCATGAAAATCAGCAATATCACTACAGCTTTTCTTCTCTAAAGGTTAGGAAGTAATTATAAATACCCGTCCATTGTTTCTGATGATTGTGTGATATCCCTGCAAAACATAGATTAAGTTTCCAATCAAAATTGAGGGGCAATGCTCACATGGTACATAGACTTAAACATGGTCTAGGGCAGCCATTCCCAAACTCAGTAACACCGAGGCCCCCTTAAAAATCTGACGGGTCTGCGCGGCCCCCCAAAATAATAACCAAGAAGACAACATTAAGAATAGGCTCTTCTGGTTATTTTACTTTGGGGAAATAGCCTCTGCTACAAACATTGTAATACAAAAATGATTACAGTGGATTATTTAAGTCAAATAATGAACACAAATATTTTAATATTACAAACAAAACATTATAAATTTAACATTAAATAATTATATTATTATTATTTTTTTTTTTTATGACCTCCCGCGGCCCCCCTGCAGTACCCTCGCGGCCCACCAGGGGGCCGCGGACCCCACTTTGGGAGACACTGGTCTAGGGGAAAAAGACTGGCCCTTTAAAACTGCAAAGACCTACGATCAGACGTGCGCAAATGATGACGAATGCACATCCAAAATAATGTAATACTTTCTCATTTTTATATTCATTTCACATGCCACACAGGCCAAAGTCAGACCACTGCTTCCTGCGTATAATTATGCTATAGGCTCTTATAATGAGTCCAGGACAATGACACTAATCTGCAGCCTGTTAATGAAGTAAAGCAGCATCTGACACCTGCTTAGAAAAGGAGTCAGATGGAACCGCAGGTGGAAGACACTGCAGAGATAAGACAAACTAAAGATCAGGGCGATTGAAAACAAGATGCAGTGTGTGGTACTGGAATAATTGCTAAGAATCAGAGATATATATAGTAGAAAGCACGAATAAACGCACTGGAGCTAGCAGTAGCACTTAGCCTCCTCCTTATATCAGGAGCAGGAGCAGAAGCAGAGTCGCGTCACCTTTCCATGGATCGAAGGAACTGTCAAAACTGAGCTCGTATCTGTCATAAGAAACAGGCATATGAAAGCAGAAAGTGTCCCATACCTGGTGTTTAATCGCATCCAGCTGTCAGAGCATCTATGCATTTAGCCCCCTGCAGATAGCCATCGTTTGGAGTCAGAAAAACAGGATATGCAGACGGTGTGTGGCAGCGTGTGGCCGCTAGGGGGCAATGCTTTTCGGACTTAAAAAAATAAAATAAAAAAATATGTATATCCAAGTTTTCCTTTACTCACTTTTATTAAGTACTAAAATTGGTGAATATAACTTGAAATACATATTAGCCTTTCAACAAACTGTATAATTGGTAGCACGTTCACAGTGTGTTGCCATGGTTACTAGCGCTCGCTTCTCCAAGAGAGTCTGGCTGCAGACTCCCCACCCCTCGCAGACCTCCCTGTTCAGCCCCTCCTTCAGGAGCCCCTGTTACCTCACTTCCTTTACTGGACACAAGCAGACATCTCTCAGTTTAGGGAGACTTTGACCCGGACAGTGAGGAGCATGAGAACATCTTGGAGCCCTTCAAGTTTGTCTTCTCTCAGATTGAGGACATGGAACTCTTTTATGTTGAATGTGTTGATAAAAGGGGTGTTTTATTGTGAATGCATAATAAATAGTTGAACGGCTTTATCATTGAGATAATTTATTCACCACAAACGGGGAATGTTCAGTATTGCATCACAAGTTACAGAACGTTAGGAAAATCAAAAATGTGAGTAGACCTATAGGTCTAGCTAACTCTTATTCCTCTAGAAAATAATAGAAAAAAGAAATATTGGGTACCTATGTAACTTTATTGCTGTTGCGAGAATAATATAGATGAATGGAAGTTGCAGCTCTTAATATAATGAAGCCTCGCCATGGTATCTCCATATATATTGTCTTTTCGACGTGTTTTCATGTTCTATACTATGGGTGACATGTAGGTGGCGCTCTTGTAAACAAATGGCAACAGAATTGTCCTTTGGCATCCCAAATGCCCAGATGAAAACGCTCATATACATAATACCTGGTCACAATTTGTGGAACAAACGTCACTATTTTTGTTTGTTACAAAATATATACAATATGTTAAATATAAGCTTTATAACTTTGTGAAGAAAAACGTTTTCAAGTCCCAGGGAGTGAAGTGACAGTAGCTCATGGCAAAGGTTACGTGACAGGGGCTCCTGAAGGAGGTCACGTGACAGGGGCTGAACAGGGAGGTTTGCGAGGGGGGGGGGGGGGGGGGGAGTCTGCAGCCAGATGCCTCTCCGCTCTTCTCTACTCCATAAATAAAAAATGATACCAATAAAATAATGACAAATAAACCACAAGGAAAAAAACAGGACAAGTCAAACATTTGCAGGAACTCAGTAATGAAAAATAAAAAGTAGTGAAATTGACTTATCTGGGAATTCTAGAGATAAATCACATTTGTTACTTGACCATATTTAACTTCACTTGTAGCTATGTCACAATTTCCAAAAATAAAAAAAGTAACTCAACATTATTATCAGAAAAGATAAGGTCCATGTATGCTCAAGGCTAACGATAAAAGACCGGTATGTGGTATTTTTAGGCATACCTTAAGTGATATGCAATGCCAGCATATCAACGGCATATTGATGTATTTTTAATTTATCAAAGAAAATAAAGTTGAGCTGTGTTCCAGGTAATTCATTTATTTTAGGTTTGTACATCACTTAAACACTGACATCTCTGTAAAGGGAAGGGTCCGTGCCTGCCACATTGTGATATATTATATTAATGACAAATGAGATTGGATGACATTTAGGAGCATTCAGGCCCCAGCATCAGTCTGACAGGGAGAGTATTTGTAGGAGTACAGCTTGTTATCTGCTCCTCCACTCAACATAAGCTGCAACAGAAATAGAAAGCAGAAGCAATGATTAGCGACACGTTTTTATAACCAGACGCGTTTAGGATTCTTTTTAGATTCTTACCCCACTTTCTGTCCAATCAACACAGAAGACTTTGTCCTCATGGGCTGCCAGGTCGTACAGAGGTGTTTTACAACTGAAACATGAACAAAGTAATGTGAAAATAATATAAATAATTATGTAATTATTATTGGCATTGTGGAACACAGTCCAACAAAGACGGGATGATGGACGAAAATAAATATCTTGAAGTCTGACTCATGAAGGCTTCATTAGTCACCGTCCTCTGCGCTTGACAATAGGGATGTACCGATCCAGATTTTTTGTAATCTGATCCGATTCCGATATTCTAAATATTGTTTTGCCGATACCGATCCGATACAATTTTTTCAAATATTTTCAAAGCATTAAAGATTTTGCATTTTTACCTGAATGAATACGTTTGTCGTGTCGGCTAACACACGTTAGCAGCCTTGTTTACAGTCACAGGGAATGAGGCTCGAGGAATATGTTCACAAGCTGTCTCCCCCATAGTTAGTCCTGGTGAAATCCTGGTTTAGTCCTGGTTTATCTCCTGTTTTGTGTCCCCATGACGGCTCTGTCTTTATTGCCCAGCCCTAGTTTTACATTGTATTTAGTTTACGGCAGCCGTAAAGCGTGAGCATGCTGAAAAGTGACGTAAATCGGCTTCATATTTAACAAATCCGATATTATCCGATCCTTACAAAATACCCATATCGGCCCCCGATACCGATATTGAATATCGGATCGGTACATCCCTACTTGACAACCGACAATTTATGCCACTGTGACTTTATCTGCACTGCTAAATGTTTGTGACTTTACTTAGTGCACTTGTATATAGTATTTTATGTTTTTTAATGCATGACTTTACCTTCTTTTACTACAACAATTTGAGCCAAAGCAAATTCCTAGTTTGTGACTTCCTGTTACTTACAATGGCAATAAAATGTATTGTGATTCTGATTGAGAGCTGCCTTGTTGAAATACCTTCTAGTGTCCCACAGTTTGACCACGTTGTCAAGAGAGCCAGATACCAGTTGGTGCTCATTTGAAGGTGCCCACTTCACAGCAGTGACCCAGCCAGTGTGGGAGGTCAAGTTGAGCAGGACCAGTGCTCCGTCTGCAGGGAAAGGAAGGAAATGATAAGAAAACACCCATGGCGGCTGTAGCTCATTTCCTTAAGGCATAAACACACAAATAGTTTCCCCAAGTAAGTCTTGGGTCTAATGTCCAAGTATCAAGTTAAATAAAAAGAATACAGCATAGACCTCAACCTTTGATATCTGTTAACAAAAGTCTTTCTCCACCACTAGCCTCTCAAAAAGTTGGGATTTAGAACATTGAGTGGCAGTAACAATACCTTTAGTTCGAGGATCCCATAGTCTTATGTGTCGGTCAGTGCTGCCTGAAGCCAACCGTCGACACAAAGGTGAATAAGAAATACTGTTAAAAACTTTGGTACCGGCCTAGGAATATAGAAACAAATATATTACACAAACACAATTTCATATGTAGTAGAAATAGTGACTTGTTTGGGGTTACCAGAGTAGTCTTCATGATGCCCGACTCTACATCCCAAACACGAATTGTGTGGTCCCAAGATGCAGTGCACACTTCATCAGTATCACTCCAGAGGACAGACGATACTGCTTCATTGTGTCCAGCAAGCGTCATAATAGGAGTCTAGAGAATAGCAGCTCAGCATCACATTATTTGTGCTTAGAAAGAAAGCACTGGTAAATCACAAATAGAACCCACTCTCGTCAGGCCCAACTGTTGCGTCTTCTGTTTCTTTCTTGGTCTGTCGGCTGGTTCTTCAACCTCATCTGCCTCATCTGTTGGTACTGATGATAAAAAGAGGGAAATGTTTTGTGTTTTTTATGCAACCAACGTGTAATCCTCAGTACTTTAATAATAATGCATCGGATTTATATAGCGCTTTTTTGGACACTCTTCACAAGTCATCCTTCATTCACTCCATACAAGGTGGTGATAAACTACCGTGTGGCCCAGGGCAGCTGTGGGGCACACCGACAGAAGGCAACCAATACTGTATTGACCACCACCAACTACAAATGTGATATCATACCTGCTGACCAAATCTTTAACATTTTGTCCCATGAACCACTGCAGAACTGAAAAAAAAGTAAATTATAGTATGATGATGTAGATGTATGATTATTTGATCCATCTGTAAAATGTACCTTTGTGCCGGTGGGGTCTGTAGCAACCGTATCAACACTCGCCGTGTGCCCCCGACAACAGTGTCTGGCGACAGCTTTGTTCTTTTCAGAGTTCCACTCCCACAAAATGACAGTGTGGTCCAAAGATGCCGTCAGAAGCAAAGAGGTCAGATTCTCTAAAGAAATAAACCACATATTGTACAACTGACCAGTAAATGTACAATCTCACAAATATATTTAATCAAATCTACAATATACCTCTTTTGACCCAGGCTGCATCTTTAACCACATCTGTGTGTCCCGTGACTGTTAGTATAGGCTTGCCCTCTACAGACCAAATTCGGGCTGTCTTGTCATAGGATCCAGTCAGAATCCTGGAAAAAAAAAGGAATCATTTGCAGTAACAGCAATGATGTAGGTCTACTGGTATATTGTAATGCATAAACAAATGTTGACAGAAGTAGCTACCATTCTGAATCCGCTTGAACAGAGCTGATCCAATCGTCATGCATCATACACTCCTCAGGCTCTGGAGCTGTGATTTTCTCTACATACTCGATCTCAACTACATCTTCCTGTGGTGCGCATAGAGGACATCCATAACTTTAGCATGAAAATCAGACATTTCATCAAAGCAGGGGTCTCCAACCTGTTCCGTGGGCAAGATACTTTTTCGGGACAAATGTGGCAGTTGACAGAATGAAATCAAAAGCTTTAGTCTTAATTCAAGCATGGATACAGCACATGTATTACTTGTTCCACTGGGAAATCTGGGGTTACAACTGTCAAAATTAATTTAACCATGTGTTGACTTTTTAGTTGGTATTCTCAGATTTTTACTCATAAAATTATTTTTTGGGAGCTACTTTGAAGAGGGTAACCGATCTATAGGTTGGAGACCCATGCTGGTGAGTGAATCCTTACTGTAGAAAGGCCCTCCGTTTCCATGTGTGTGGACAGTGATGTTCGTAAAAACTGTCCTTTGACCAAGAAGTCAAAATCCACCTTCTTGTGGGATGCTGAGATGCCATAATAGCACATTACACATTATTAATTACAAGGCCAACAATTACATGTTTCTGAGGTAAATTATGATTGAGACTTAAAGTGTACGTCCTAATACAGTAAACATTGATAGCCTACCATGCTTTGCCTCCAGTAACTTATTGATGACATTGCTGAGATCCTGAGTCTCAGATCCTGCTGGTATGGAGAACGGGACGTCATCGACAAGATACCTACGACAAATTCATCAAATCATTCATCTATAATAAAACAATGGTGTAAGGGTTATAAGATACTAAAAAACGAAAGGACGAACAGCCAGAATGAACTAACTCACGCATAACACGTTTTTACATGTTAGCAATCGAAGCTAACGCGCATTTTTTACTACTTCTAGACTCATTTGGGGATTTTATCTTACCGTTTGTCTTCTGTGAAAAACCTTGCTTGTAGCTGCGACATTGTTACCCACTGTGCAGTTTTAACAGACGTAAGATAGAAGAACTACAGCCTTCACAACAGACCAAGTGCGCACAGGCAGACCATGTGGTTACACTGCCAGGCATAGTAGCAGAGCGGATCGAGCAGACCATGTTTATCGATTAGTAATGTCTGTTCAGGTACAGACTCTGATCTATGGTCTATGGATCAAACCAGTGACTTAAATGTATTCTAGACTGCAAATAATTGTTTAAATAATCTAGACCCGATTGTCTGCACATCTAATTAGCATTAGTTAGCATGCGTATCCATCGTATTGCCTTCCCTAGAGGCTAGTAATGTTTTATAGCAGTGACACTAGATTTAACAGCAGAATATATTCTTGTAAGCATACAAAATAGCTTTAAAGTTAAACACTTTCTCTCAGAATATTAAGTTTAGAAGCTTAATACCACTTGGGTTCCGTTATAGAAAGACACACACGCACAGTACCAAACACTTGTTTTTTTTTCTTTTTTTATTTCAAGGGCATTGTCATGGCTTTGAATCGATATAGTGTACACTTTAAAAAATGTAGAATTATACAGAACACAATTGTCTTGTTCTTTTTAAAACAGGTTACAGTAATCCATTACATTATTTATAAATGCCCTGATCGACAAAACTAAAATAATAAGTATATACAAAAAAACTTTTTTCACTCGTCATCCGCTTCTTCCTCCTTTACTTTCTTTTTCTTCTTCTTTTTCTTTTTCTCTGAGGACTTTGGGAAAAGAAATACAAGTCAATCTACTGCACAAATAGTATGTCTTAGAGTTTATTATCAGCCTTACCTCTACTGGCAATTCCATCTCTTCCTCCTTCATTTCCTCCTCAGCAGGCTCCTCTGATTTCTTGTCTTTCTTCTTCTTTTTCTTCTTCTTGGGAGTCTCCTCAGAAGCTTCAGCAGTTTCAATTTCCTCTTCTAATAACAAAGACAATAATACCATCTTAATCCATGACAGCCAAAACATAGAACTTCATGACCAGTCTAGTAACGTACCTTGTGTTACAGGCTCCTTCTTGGGCTTCTTTGCTTTGAACGCTGGTGTCGTGGGCTCAGCTGCTTCAGGCTCCTCTACCTCTTCTATCTTTCTCTTTTTTGATGTAGAGGGGATCGTGGAATCACCAGATGGATCATACACTTTAACTTCACTGTTGGGAGTCAATGTCAGTAAGCAATACACCTTCGGAGGGTGGGGTGTAATACATTTAAAAGTTTGTATACCTTTTATGAGTGTATTTGTCTGCTTTGGCCATTGCCTTTCCAGTACCGCTAATTCTTCTGATCTATTAGGGATTGACAGGAAATAAGACATTAAGAAATAAAAGGTGATTTTCATTTATAAAACATTTACAATTTGTCTGCAGTATTTTCACTCAAGCTTTATTATCTTTCCCTTTCATTCTCAAGAGGCAGCGAAACGCCTCAGTTCAAAATTGATTACGTGGCAATATTAAGTGCACAATATGGGACCTTAAAAAAATAAAAAAATAAAAAAATAAAAAAAAACTTCCCACACTTACTCCTCTTTCTTCTAACTGACGAAGACGAGCCTCCAACTTTGCCCTGTTCTCCACACCCATTTCAGCATTGGTGTCTTCTCCCAGCGCATCATACCGGATAGCCAGGGATGTTTTGGCGGCTAGCATTCTGGATATCTGAAAATGGGTAGAAACAGATTTTTAACACCCACATGTACTCCTGCATCATTTTGAAGTCCTTGTGAACCAACCTTGCCCTTGTTCTTTGCAGTGGTCTGGCCGACAAGGGATGCATGATAGATGAGACCATATTTGGGTGTGTCTTTGCGAGTTTTTAGGGCTCTAAATAAAGCTTTCTCTGCTCCCAGGATCTGCACAGTGGAGGCAGGGTGCTTTGCCAAATTCAGGAGAGAACCTGCATAATATTAGAAAAAACTAAAAACACAATTGCCTTGAGTGTCCGAAATAAATACTTAGTATACAAGCTCAGATGAGGTAGTGACTTAGTACCATCAGTCTCATTCAGGAAAGTGACAAATTGTCGCAATCATCACCGCTTGTTTAATACTGTACATAGATATATATATAAAACTCACCGGCATGAGAAATTAGTCTTGCACCAACCAGCTCTCCCACCATGACTGTCAAATTAGGGGCAATAGCCATCATCCTGTTTTTAAGGTAGTCGTAGAGCTGCACTCTGTATTCTGTAATCTCAATAACCTGCATGAAAAAATAAATTTAGTGTGAGTGAAAGCAAAACAAATTATATCGTCCATAACCATGTTCAGACAGTTCAGATGAGGTAGTGACTAAATGCCCACATAATAAAATTCAGTACAAAGACTTAAGTCGTCATCACTAATGCCAAAGTCTTCATTTCTGTTTCACTAATAAAGTCTTACCTGATCACAAAGATGACTGATGTTGGCAATGTCCTGTTCCGATACTTCTGTTCCCATTGAGATTTCTGCAGCCAGTTTAACTTCAGCTTCAATTTCCTCTGGCAACAGGTCAGACAGATCGCTGCCAGCCACATTTGTTCGATCACCTATAAGAAATAATACATTTCAATTCATAATTCTTAAAAACTCAGAAAAGGTTTTTTCTTTTTTTTAAAGCATACCTATTTTTCTGACTGCTTTGCAGTAGGCCAAGTTGTCTGTGACAATTTTCCCCAGCTCGGGAAAGTGCCAGCCATACCACTCTCTGCAGCGCATGATGTAGTTGTTAAGTTCTTTATCCAAATCATCCAAGAGAGCTAATACAAGATAAAAGATGTGTAAATTTTCACCCTTAAAATATAATGTTAATACTTATTTGACAAAACTTACAGATCGCTTGAACAATCATGGTATCCACCTTATCAGGACTGAACTTCAACTTGTATCGGGATAAACTGAAAATTGAAGAGTGTTAGTGGAAACCAAACAACACAAAACCCTATTCTGTATCTACAAAAGCCTCAGTGGTAGTGACGAATGCTGATATTTGTTCAACAGGTATTTTCAGACAGCAAGTGTAATCATAGGCAATCAGATTTGTGAATGACATGTAAACCATTATTCACCTGTGAGCTAAACCAAGGGACATAGCACTGAGATCTCGAGCAGGAAGACCAGTTATAAGACCCTCCATCTGACTTCGAATGCACCTCATGAGCTCTGCCACTGCCGGGCTGTAGACGCAGCTGATGTCCAATTTTTCCTGCAAATCCAGAGCACATTAGAGGTTTGCCACAGTAGCTGAAACTTACTTTCTGAACACACTTACTTTTATAACACCTCCAAGTTTGGCATCGCAAATAGCCAGCTGCTCATGAGCCTCCTTCGCAACAATTTTTTTGAGTACCTTCTTTAAATTTTTTCCAACTTTACCCTCAACAAGGGCAGTGGCAGCTGAAAGAGAAATGTATGCATTACGTCAGATTTCAGGGTTAGGACAATGCTATAGAATTAAGTAACAAATCGTATCTTACCAGCCAAGGCCTCAGTGGTATCTTGAAACTTCTCAAAATGCTTTAACTTAAGACTGATAATGGAGATGAAAATGATTATTAATAATGCATTGCTTTAATATACACGTTTTGCATCATGAGAAAAACTTTACTGATCTCACAATGGAGAAAATTACATCAATTAACTTACACTTTATTTGCCTTTTCAGGAGTTTCAAATTCTTTATGCAAACTGTCCACTTGTTGCAATTTGGATTCATCGAGGACCTAAAGGAAAAAAAAAAAACCCACACAGTTCAGATGGTGGTTCGCTCTAAACGTGCTACTTGTCTGCACACGTGGTGCAGAAACATGGCCTTCCACGCTTAAAAATATGACGCGGATCAAGAACAGAAAGAAACACAAGATGCATCTAATATGTTGTCATTAGGACAGAGGTGGTATTCACGTCATAACTAGAATGGGTAGTAACGTATATATTGTATAGCTGCGAATGATGTGGGCGAAGCAAGGTTAGCCATGATGCTAAGTAGAGCTAGCTGGTGAGAAGTTTACCACATACAGAAATACTGTGATAACCACAACATTACAAATAATACTTACTTTGAAGATTGCATATCCAGCCGCTGTCTCAAATAGAACCAACATGTTTGAAGCAGTGTATGTCTCTCTAAAGAGAGAGATCACAGCTTCTTCTGAACCACGCTACTGCTGCAGTCTTTGGGTCTCACTGTCCCACATGTGGTCTGCGAGGGGAGCATTTGGGTTGCCAGATCTGGATATGTAAAAACGGTCCATAGCTTTATGATCGCATCTCAATGGCCACTTGCCGACCCATCATATCAATAGTTTTGATACATTTTATTTAATATTGTTGTGTTTAAAAGTAGTCTTTAGTTTCACTGCTCTTCAGTGATTATGATCAGAGGTTCAACAAATTAATAAATTATTGATAACTAGTAAACACAAAGGCTTGTTTTACTTTGTAGTGGCAACATATTGAATCTAACCATAGTATAAGTCCATAGTAACAACTAAGCCACATGCCACATTACAATTGATCGTCCATCGTCTATTTTTTTAAGACGAAAAAAGATCGTCTTTTCGTCTAATCCAAATAGTTCGTAACCTTACCATAAGACTTCATTATACTATTATAACAATATATCATCAAACAGAACAAAAAAATCCTTTAGAATCCTAACTTTGGTAATACAGTCTATGCTTTGGTACTAATATCTTCCATCATCATGGTATAAAATATGCTTGAAATAGCATGAATCTTATTTTAATGTGTTTTGTTTTTAACTTTCTTTTCTTTTTTACCATTTCCTATTTCGGCGGAAATTACGTACAAGGAAAACTCAAGCAAAACACGCACACGTGAACGGCACGGAGCTGTATTCTCCTGTAATGACTTGGGTTTACTGAGGAACACGCCTAAATCCTGTGAAAATGAGCGGGTTTGGACATTACCCACCGCCGGACTTTAGCAGTCCACCACCGAACACGTTCCAGCCTCAACCTGCGGCGAGCAGCTTTTACCCGGGCATGTGGAGCTGGCAGGAGGGCCCTTCAGAGACCAGCTGGGGCTACAGCAGCAGCTATGGGGCAGCAGCAAGCCACGGACCTCAGGCTCCTCAGGGATCTCAGGGATCTCGGGCTCCTCAGGGATCTCAGGCTCCTCAGGGATCTCAGGCTGCATGGGGAAGCTACAACAGTCACAGTGAGTTGACAATATTCAGCCAATGCCTTGCAAACATATCACGGCTACATTGATGTTGTATGTTTGTGTATTTGTTCATTTATTTTTTTGTAAATATTTTGAATTTTAGGTCAAAACTACTGGCACCAGGGAGGAGGACGTGGTCAATCATATTATGGAAATTGTGGCAACAAAGTATGATCACAGAGTAACATCATTCCCTGATTAACAGCCAGTGATGTGTGTTTTTATTCCCCATCTTTTACAGAGACATAGGAAAGAACCAGAGTTCCTTTATTTCTGCGATACATGTGATAGGGGATTTAAAAATGATGAGAAGTATAATGAACATATGTCTCAGCACGTCAAGGTAAATAAAAGGCAAACTATTCGGTTACTCATTCATTTGGTTGTATTCACATTATTAAATGCATTTTCAGTGCTCTGTACCGGGCTGCACTTTCATGGCTCATGAAAAAATAGTTTGCATTCACTGGAGAAATGTAAGTTGTATCTTTAATTTGTAAAGTAATTAGTATTTCTCATTTCTATATTATTTGTTTATCTGTGTATTTGTTCATTTTTATACTCCATGTTGCAGACCCACGCACCAGGAACAAAGCGTATCAAACTGGATACACCTGAGGAAATTGCAAAATGGCGTGAAGAACGACGAAAGTAAGTGTTTCCATAAAATATTTAATGAAACATTTTGGAATCAGAATGATTTATTTGGTTTGGTTTCAGAAACTTTCCTACACGTGAAAATGTTGAAAAGAAGAAAAAGGTTATGGAGGTGAGAGAGGAGACAGGAGGAGTTCTTGAGACACCTCAGTTTGGGTAAAAAAATATATTTTTGTCTGTACAATTTAGAAAGACATTGACAGATTAGAATGTAACTTTTTTATTTGATCATATTATCCATAGACGTATGAGAGGAAGGGGACGTGGAAGGGGATATGGAAGAGGATATGGAAGAGGATATGGAAGAGGTCGTGGTTGGGGTAATAGTGGCCCTCAAGAATTTTACCAAGGAGCTTGTTATTCTTCTAATGGTAATGTTCCAGAGAATACGCTAACACCAGAAAAGACCAATGGACATGATGATCCACTTCGGATGCAAGCTTGTGGAGACCATGGTAAGCTTGGCATAGTAAGTTGTTGTATAAACATGTGACAGTGTAACCTATGCTTGCAGATTTAGACAACAATGATGCAGCGCCTGAGAAAGTAGCTCCTAAACCAATCAGTTCAGGATTGGGGTCTTTAATAGCAAGTTATGGATCAATGAGTGAAAGCGAGGAAGAGCCTGATTGTAAGTACACAATGTTGCTTGGCCAACGGTAATATGAACAAACATGAATATTGACTTTTTATTTTTGATCAGCTCTACCAATTCAAAAAGCCCATGAAGCTTTACAAGAAAACCAGACTATACTGAATACCATCCCAACCAAATCCCAGGATCCTACAGCAGTAACCTCACATCCTGATAGATATGAGAATAGAAGAGGAAGAGGAAGAGGAGGGTGGCGTGGTAGAGGACGTCAACAAGACATGCCACGAAAAAGGGGTCCGACCCTGTTGGAAATGGTAATTCTTAAAGTAATAACCATGTATTTTAAAATTGTTTTTTTAACTAATGCAATCAACTTTTTTTCAGCTGCTGGCTCCAGATATTCGTCATGAGAGGAATGTCTTACTTCAATGTGTTCGCTATATTGTTAGAAACAACTTTTTTGGACTGGACAATATATCTCCGGCTCAAACAATTAAAAACGCCAGCAGTGGACAACATTCTGACAATGATGTTGGTCATGCACAGATGGATGTCAATCATTGCCCATCACAACACAATTTGATTGAAGATGGAGCTCAGGTCCAATACGGCCTGGAAAACCAAAATGAAGTTCAAGAAAGTACCAACACATCACCAGCTGTGGACAGTCAAAATCAAAATATATCCCATAAATATGATGATGAAATTTGGGAGAGTGGTTTTTAGATGGCATACCTTAAATCTCAGATAGAAAAAAATGTGCTAAATATATAATTTCAAGCAATTGTTTGTTTTTGTAATACATTTCTTTATTAATCAGTATTCAACAATATATGTTGTGAATATTTCATTTAATAAATGTTATTTTGATGGATACAGTAAACTATCTATTCAGCATTATCTTTATTTAGGGAGGCCTCTGAACTCCAGACTTTTTCATTGGTACCGTTTCAAAACAACATGCCCCCCAGAGTTATACTGCAGTTATAGAAACACTTGTTACAGCAGTATAATACTTATCTGATTTCCATTCCTAGGAAAAGAATTGAGATACAATATAACATATATTGCATCTCAATGTATGACTTCTATAATTTCTATTGACATTTGATAAAGTATAGAATCATGTCATCTGGTATTTCTACATTTTTTACTTATCTTATGGACTCATTCAGTTGATTTTAGTGATAAAATTACATTTTTCCATTTGAATTACATGCACACCTCAAGCAAAAGTATGTATAGAGGCAAATCTTGCGTTCATTTCATTTTAGTTTCAAATGTACCCTCTTCTGTGAATGATGACTTGAGCCTGTTGTCACACGTTAGATGCAGTCACACCAGACGGTAAAACAACTGTGTTGCTCTAACGTCCTTTGTTTATTCAAAAGTACAGCCGTTATAAAGACTTCGTTGTATAGCAACATGTAACAACAACATAAGAGCATGGTGCGTGTCCAAACCATGTTCTCACTCAAATCATGTCTCATTACAATCATGTTGTCATAACATTTTCTAAATTTAATTAAATATTAATCATGACATGATTAATCAAGTACAGTCGCAGGTTCTTCCACAGACTCACAGTAGCATACAATGATGCCTTCAGGCTGCTGCTCCGGGTGCCCAGGTGGCACAGTGCCAGTGAACTGTTCTGCTCTGATACGGCATCTAACATTTCGGTTCAAGGAACGTCTGGAGGACTCTAGAACAAAGAACCCAAGAACGGCATCATTCGGACTCTGGCCAACGGTAGAATGAGCTCATGTCGCTACACGTCTGCTCTGAGAAAGCACTGGACAGATACACTTTATCATATTTAAATCTGCTGGAAATGATACTATATATTTGAATGCATTGTCCTTTTATTGTTTATCTTTTTATTTTTTGTATGGACCAATTTTATCTTGAGTCTGAAATAAAGATTAATAATAATAATGACATGTAAATTATGTAAATACAGTAAACATGTGTAAAATGGCGCTTTTAGAGTATTTGTAATATCATTATTATAATGCCTGCACAGACCACACGGAGTGCTCGTGTCAGTCTTCTCTAGTCTCATGGAAACCACTGGAGCGCGTGCTGCAGCAACGGTGTCAAGTGTCGCGTGTCGTCGGTAGGCAGAAGTTATTTATTCAGCTACGACAGTTAAACTAATGTTAAACTATAAAAGTGGCTGCTACTTACTTTTTTCTTTCTATTCCACTGAAGAGGTGCCAGGTGACATGGCGGACAAGTGGGTCCGAGTGGAACCATCGGTTATCCATTTTTCAGATGTGCGACTTGGGCAAGTTTACAAAACATATGTAAAGGCTACCAATATGGGAAAGAAAATGAAGAAAATAACATTCCAACCGCCACCTTCAAAGGTAAGCGAAATGTAGTCAAGACTTGCATTCAAATACATAGTTTGCGTAAAGAATGTATTGGCTAACGGCTAAAACCATAAAGCTAGTTAGCTAATCTCCTAGCACGTGCGGCCACGTGCCTATGGATCTAGTTTGCACGTGACACGTTATGCATTTGTCATTGCTATGCACATTGACAACATTAACTAGTGAAATTTTCATTCTGTTGCAGTTGTTTAAATTTGCTCAAAGCAAATCAGATGTGATGGTTGTCCCCGGGCTTCATGTCGGTGGTTTACTGGAGTTTAGTCCGGGAAGAGAATTTGAGCATGTCCGAAGCGCTCTTATGGTTCAGATTGATCATGACTCTATAGAAGTCCCAATTCTGGTGTAAGTTAAAACGGTTATGCTATAGTTTTGAATGATTTATTTGAGTGCATTATAACGTGTTGTTTTGTGATGAAGCTCCCCGGTGTCTTGCTGCTTAATTATGAACCCCGTTGTTGATTTTGGGTGCGTTCCCGCAATAAGTCAAATTCTCAGCAAACACCCCATAACGAACTGTGGTTCTGCTCCGGGTTAGTAATGAGTAATTATGTATGTTATGTTGTTGTTAGCCATTATCCTGAATCCTGTGTTCGGTGTGTTTTATAAGGATGGTTCCAGTTACAGCAGAGCAAAGACCCTTCAATTAAAATCACCCCTTTGGATGGTGTAGTGGCCGCGGACGCAACCCAGTGGGTTACAGTCGAACTGCGCACTGATGAAGTGAGGCAATTCAACGATGACGTGTTGTAAGATAAAGTACAACGTTGCTACATGCTTTATGACAGATATACATTACATGTACATTACATTCAATTTTTTTTCAGTGTAAAACTTCAGAATTGCTCACTTAGTGTTCTTAATATTAGAGCTAAAGTGGTTGATCATAGACTTGGGATTTTTGACTTGCAGGTAATACCAGACTATTCTAATAATCAGCATTATTCCAGACCATTCAAAACCTTTTAATAATTGTTTTTTAAACAGGGGGATCCTTTAACCTGTCAATGGTTTGGACCAGTTTACTTTGGTACATCTTGTGAAGACACGGTAGTTCTGAGGAACATTTCACCCCAGGCTTGTGACTGGGTTTGTGTTTTACAAACCTCACTAGAAGGAACAGAGCTGGTGAGTTAACAGGAATGACTCAAACACTATATTATTACAATGATTTCTGTATTGATGATACTACAGGGCACGGACATTCAGAGGAGCACCACAACAGACACCACCCTGCTGGAAGAAATGCATAACTGCAGCCTGCATTCTGCCTATATCTCTGAAATCTTCGTATGTTCTCCAACACACGGTCGGCTGGAAGCTTATGATCAAACCACTCTAACGCTACGCTTCACTCCAGTCCGTAAGAGGTAAATCAAATTAAACCTTTCAGAAGCTGGTAAATCAAACACAAATGGGAAACTTGATGTTAGTATCTGTGAGGAAATTGAAGGTAATTTAGAATCTTGTTTGATAAGTAAGCAGGAGAGAATAAAAAGAGTGCTACTCCCCGTCGGGGAATTGAACCCCGGTCTCCCGCGTGACAGGCGGGGATACTCACCACTATACTAACGAGGAGCACATATGTGTTTGGGGGAGGGGCTTTGATTTTGTATGTGTGTGTGTGTGAGACTCAGCCTGGTTCTTTCAGGTCAGACAAAGAGCGACAAGATTACAGCATTTTCATTCGCTTTGAATCAGTGGGCACTAAACATGGCTTCACTCACCATAATGGTACAAACGATATGTTGTAAAACTGAGATACTATGTATTAAAACATAAATGTTTGGTTTCAGGAAACACTGGTGTGGAACTTGCTCTTACGGGCTCTGGATTTCCTGTGTCACTTATTCCTAATCCTTCTCAAAATTTCAACTTCCCCACATGTGTCACAGGAGAAAGTGTGGATTTATTATGTGTTCTACAAAACTGTTGCCTTCAGCTTCCTGTAAACTTCAGATTTAAAAAAAAGCCTCACTTCAGCACCAATCCATTGGCAGGAACTATAGCGCCAGGCCAATGCAAGGTGTGTAAACAAGTAATTCATATCATAACAATCTGCCCGATCATCATCACAAATACACTCTTAGAAATCATTTCCTTTTCAATACTATTCAGGAAATAGTTATTTCCTTCAGTCCAAGGCAACAAGGTACTTTCCAGATGATTCAAAAAATAGATGTCCTCGGTCCTGTCAAGCAGCAAGGAGATTCTAACCCTAATGACGAGTTTAAAGGACTCCAACTTCGTACCTTTCATGCCATCACCTTGCACTTGTCGGGCACAAGTTGCAGCAGGACCACATATCCTTTACCCAACTTAAATCCTGGTAAAAAATACAAATAAAAATAAAGACACACTCATCTCTTATATGTTTGTTGTTCTTGAGTAGAAATATTTTTGTTTCAGGCATTACTCCATTAGTCACTAACCTGATTGGACCACAACCCTATGTGCAATTGAGCGACATTTCCTGCTGTCGAGGAATAGTGCCCGCTGTAGTCCTCAGGGCCGACAAGAGCGAGAGAGAAGCAAGAGAGAAGACTCAACTCAGTGGAAAGCAAGATTTTGTGGCTTTTCCAAACAACAGACCCCAAAGTTTGAGATCTCTCCCACCACACACACAATGCAGGTAATCGCCTCATTTTTATCCTAACTATCCTGTAATATAAAATAAGGTTTTATGGTCTTGGGCAGAGTTGATTCAGATTAAGCAGATGCCCTACCAAATAGCTGAAACTTTTGTTAAGAGATTTCTCTCATTTTAGGACCATCTTCCCAGATGTACCACACCATTGTTATGTTGACACAACCTACACCTTAACTCGGCAGGAAGCAGAAAGAAGTAAAAAGAATCTCCAAAAATATTCGGATTTGTTTAAATGTCGTAGAGAAAGGCGTCTTCAAAAACTACAGTGGAAGTATGTCCATCCTAAAATTTCCCTTAAGTGTTTGACAACTGCTCATTGACCTTGTGTTCTCGGATGATAGGCAGCAAGAACGAATAGAGAATGATTTGGATATTGGGATTGAGCCTTGTCAGGGTTTAGAACCTCCAAAACTGATCTGTAGAAATGTCCAAAAGAATTCTACATTAATAAAGTCATCTTTTCAGAATAATTTCAATGAGAAACAAAATGTCACACCTGTAAAATACAAAACTGTCAAAGAGGTAAGAGGTGTAGTTTGATAAAAAATGTCAAGTCTTGCGAGGTATTGACTGTTTGATTTAATTGTAGGTTTCAGGGTTAATAAATGCAATTCCATCCACAAGCCAGCAGGTGGCAGAATGTCACCGGACCCTTTCTATCCCTGAGATGTACCAAGTTGTCGTTGGTTTGTGATAATTATTTTTTTTAATTATAGTTATAAATCAATTTTGTTTTTTGGTGACACCCACTGTTTTCTTCTTAGGGCCATTGTCAGTGGACTTTGGAGAGGTGTGCCTGAGGTCATTTTGTACTCAGAGACTTGAGATGATCAATCATCTGTCTGCACATGTTTGGGTCCAGTTTGAGGTGAACTGTCCCGAGCTCCAGGGCTCCTCTCCAGTTTCTTATGTTCTTCCACCTCATTCACAAGCAGCATTAACCTTGACATTTCAAAGCACTCAGCTGGGGGAGTTTTATCAGTGTGTAAAAGTATTATTATTAAATTGGTTGTATTTATACTTTTTAAAATAACCGTCTCATCGACAGAACTGTTCCTTACACTGTGAACCAAAACCACCCTGGTCAGGTTCTGGTGCAAGCTCAGGTTGTCCCTGTTGCTTTGACGCTGTCCACTGATGAACTGGTGGTTCATCCCTCTTCGACTCTACTCGCTCGCTCTGGGTTTAGGAGTTGGGTGACTCTTAGAAACCTTAGGAACCATCCTGCTGAATTCTCATGGAAACCTATCATCTCAGACAGAGGGATTTGTTTTTCCATCCGGCCAGCTACAGGTGGAGTAGTGCTTTTTTTTTTAAGGAAAAGTCAACATAATATTTTGTAAATTATTTCTGTGGCTTATCAACTGTATGAACACTTGAAGTTGGCATAATTAATACAATTATTGTTGAACATGAATGGTTAGTCAAAGTAGAGGAGCTGGAGAATTTTCTAGAATGAATGCTCTTTTTGCATAGGGGTTGTTGATCCATATAAAGAACTCGACTGTGAGGTGGTTTGGCACGCCTCTTTCTCCTCTTCAGTTGAAGGAGATTTTGACCTGATTGTCACTGAAGGGGAAAAACGGCGTTTACACTGTGAGGCCAAGGTTTGTACATTAGACCACCTTTCACAGTTACAATGTTTAATTAGTCAGTATTATCTTATGATAGTATGTTAATTTATTTTTTACTTTACTAATAATATAGAGTAAGCATGACAGACTTTAACACGATCCCATTTTCCTATACAGTGGTCCCTCGCAACCTTGCAGTATTGCAATTTTTCATGATTTTCTACAGTGTGCAATGTCATGGCGAGCAAATCATTGATGGTTTCCTTATTTTAAGTCAGAATAAAACTTGTATGGTTTGTTTCCGCCACTATTATTTGTTCAGTCTTCCCGGAGCCCTCATTCCTGCTCCTGCCTCAGTGCGGTAATTTTTACAGTGTATGCATAGCGCTCGATCAAACAGTTGTGTGTGCGGTAGGTGTGTGGTGAGGAATTTTACAGTACTGTTCTTATTGCGGGTCATTTTTAGAATGTAATCCCACAATAAATCATTTGTGATTCTTGTCCCCTGACAGAGACCTCATAGGAACCTAAACTAAATTCAAGTGACTTATGTGTAAAACTAATTATGTTTTTGGTACGGCATATCACTAAACAAGTTTCAATATTTTCTCAGGTTGGATGTACTACCGTTCATCTGGCACAAAAGACACGAGTGACATTTGATTCAGTCCCCCTAAATGTGACCTCTGTCAGAACTGCTGTGCTGCTTAACACAGGAGCAAACCATGCGTTCTTTCAGGTACTGCATTTTTTGTTGTTAACATCTAAATCTCAATATAGAAGTCAAATTACTGTTTGTTTAATTTGGAGCAGGTGCAAAATGTTTGCCCTTTGCGAGGCATGGTGGTGAGCCCAGCTGAAGGAATGGTGGTGAGAGGAGGCCAAGCTATACTCAGCATCCACTTCAACCCAGAATCTGTTATTAAGTTTGACACAAGATTCGAGGTGTGAAAAAAGGATAAATATAGACATTTGATCTTTCAGATGCGTTTCATTTTCTGTTCTCTTGTACAGGTAACTCTGAAAGGTATGGAGTCTATTGAAGTCAGAGTGGGTGGATCAGTGGAACCACCAAATGTAGAGATTAGCAGAGTATGTTTACGGTTTTAATAGTTACTAGAATGCCCAATACATTTTACATAATTTTTAAAAATCTTTTTCAGTTACACTTCCAACTTTTTGGGATCTACCTTGGTTCTCAGAAAAGGGTACCCTTTACTTTGACAAATCACTCGTCAGCTCCAGCCTATGTTGCCTTTGACTTGTCGGAATACAAAGATTTTTCCGTCCAAACAACAGATCTTTCAGCAGGTATTACTAACATGTAATGGAGAACAGACACCTCACTGTAGTTTATAAATAATGTTGATATATTCTGCCTGTTAAGACAATATAATGTCTGTTAAATGTGTTTTTTACTGTCAGATCCTGTAACTGTTGTTGAAATGCAGGGTAATCAAACTGCCAGCTGCTTCCTTGTATTTTGTCCCACTCAGGTTAGTGTTTGTTAAATGTATAATCATTTGTGCAATTAGACTAAAACACGTTTTCCATAGGTGGCCAGCTATGACTTCGAGCTTCCTATGACTGTCAATGGAATGATTTTCTTCAGTGCCCTACAGTTATCTCTTCCTCATTCACCATCTACTTTATCCTCCTCATGCACTTTGACATCCGGCAAGAGCAAAACAAACATCCACCCTGTCCCTCTGTTAGCTTCTGTAGTATCAACTTCAAGATACGTGGAGGCCACAGGTCAGATCATTCATGAAGAGTATTTTGGCATTTAACTGGAATAGTTGAGATTATGACAAATTATTTAATTTTACTGCTGACTTTTACAGCAATCCTTTCTCCAATACATATTTCCCCTGACAAATTATGTTTTAGTTTGGCTTCTATGTCTAAGACTTACACACAGGTAAAAAGTTTAACTATGAACTACAACTTTTTTAATTTGCAGATGCACATATTTCACAATAGATTTCTTTCCAAATAGGCGATTGTTCTAAAAGCAGAATCTGATACAAGTTGGTTCATTGACTGCCTTGCCGCTGGAATGAGTAGAATTAATGGAGAAGAGCTGATATGCACTGCATCTCCATCTTTTGGAAAACTCAAGCTTGGACAGTCTATCTGTGTGGAAGTCACAATTAGATCTGATGGACTACCAAAAGGTCAGACATCATATCATGTCTATTTTTGTAATCACAATATATCCTTAATGTTTGTGTTGGCTTCTTAGTCCCTGGTGCAGTGATCAAACTGACCCTTCCTCTTTACCTGGGAGACAAGCGACAGGAGATCAAAGACTATGAAGAACAATACAGAGAGCTGTCCATTATTGTGCACCCTCTCCCCCACTTCACTGTGCACCCTCCGCAACTGCTGCTCACCCCAGTGCCGCTGGGGTGCTGTATGACAGTAACACTCACTGTCATAGCCACAGGATACACAAGGTTGGGCCATTTTGTTGTGTTATTTCAATCATGGCAGAGAAAGGTATTGAGACAAATATAGTCTACCTACCTTTTACTCATCTGTAAGAATTAAAAAGAAAAAACCTACGTAATGTAATTTGTTTCTCTGAATGAGGTTACAATGGAGCATGTTTGCACTTAATCTTAATTTTTCAGGAGGGTTTTATATTTTTGGGCCAAGGCTAATCCACTGGTTAGCAATTACTAATTTGCAAAGAATTAACCCTAACCCATCAACTATCATCTGACACTGGAAATGTAACAATATTGTTGATGTAATGTACTTCTAGTAGTAAATTATTTAAATGAGCTACTTATCCGACTTCCTTTCTAATAACAGGATACTTAAACTTTCTATCAACATGTGTTCTATATTTTTTGTGTCTTAACTGTTGATTCTCTTATCTGTGTTGGTGGTTTCAATGGTTTTGTCAAGTCCTCTGAGATGACTGCTGTTGTGATTTAGGGCTAAACAAGAATAAATTGTATTGTATGGTAGGGATGTAAAAAACTATGCATTTTCATGACCGACCACCGAGCCTCATTAACCGGTTGAAACCGGTTAACCGCGTAGTTAAAAATATTCCACGTTCTTTGAAATAGCAGCCATTTCGAGCCGCGTACTTTTCATAAGTTTATCTATGCGTTCTACTAGATCAGAGCTGAGACAGCGGCGCCAAAACCCGCAACAGCTTCGGCACCTTTGTGCACAGAGAACTGCTTTTTTAATCTTCCCATTCTTCTGTGCTGCGGGTAAAGCATTTTTAAGCAAAAGACAGCTCGTCCACATGGTCAGGGCAGCGAGTGACGAGCCGCGTCTCGCAGGTCTCCGCTAAAGTTTAAAAGTGATGTGTGTGGATCTGATCTAATGACAAGGACCAGCAGCACAAACATGTTTCATGTGTTTGACTGAAGCCGCGTATTTGCGAGGATTCTTTGGGCTGCGAGACACAGAGGAGCGCGACAGACCGGTATGTGTGTGTGTACAATACATGTGTGTATGTATGTGTGTGTGTGTACAATACATGTATGTGTGTGTGTGTAAATATAAGCTCCAATGTAGTTCTGACCTGCACTAGTGTGGAACTTTGGCGGTAACAGAGGGGAGAGATGATGCGTGTGGATGTTACGTATGGAGGGGGGGAAAGTGTTTGTGTGTGTGTGTGTGTGCGCGCGCGTGTGCGTGGCTGCGTGCATATGTGGAGCGTGCGCCATGAAAGTCGCCCGTAGTCTACTAATGCACTGGCGCACACAGCTAGATAGGGACCCGCTTGTCACATCGTGCAAATAGGGCTTAAAATAGCGTTATGAAGAGACCTCCCCTCTCCGCTTTTTCTTATTTTTAACCGACAGCTTTGACCGGTTAACGCTGTGACGGTCAACCACCGGTTAACCGGTCACCGATTTACATCCCTATTGTATGGTATTATAATAATATTTTTGTGTGATATAATTTTTTCCACAGTGGAACTCACTTTTCAGCTGATATTGATCATGTTGGGCTGGACAGTGGTAGAATTAAGCAGCCCCTCTCACTGACATTTCCTCAGGGAACACAGATTCCTCCACAGGATCAAAACAGGGTATTATATCAAATTCCTTGATGCTAACAAAGGGGATTGTTGTTAGACCTATGAAATACTAATACTCAATTTAAATTCACAGAACTCAATAGCAATTGCAGAAAAAGAAGCTACCTATATAATCTGCAACTTGACCTTTGCCTCAGACACTCCTCTAAGCTTAACTTCAATCATTACCTTCAGAGACCACTTCCAAAATGGGTAAGTATCAAGATCTCAAGGTGTCAAACAACAAATCTGTCTGAGTTTGTTATTTTTTAGGTTTCCTGTCAAAGTATGGGCTGTGGCTGATAATTGTCTATTGACAGTTTGGCCTTACCTGGCATTACACCACTCTGAACAACAAATAGTACTCAAACCAGGTATTACATACATTCTATTAACAATCTGAAATACTTTGTTTTTCTGGACTAAAATATGCTGGACAAGTTTGACTGGTATTTGTGTGACTCGCTAGGTTCCACAGTTGTTGAGGCAGTACTTCAGAACTTTCACATACCAAGTGTTGGTTCCTTTGCTTCAGCCTCAACAATTGGTCTTTCTAGCTTGATTAAAAAGATATCAAGCGCAGGTAATAATGCGTACATATATGTGGCTTGCAAAAGTACTGAAGTATTAAAACATTTTAAAATCTTTTGTGGATGCTTGTTTTGCTGCAGTCAAACAAGTCTTTGGGATATAAGGCTACAAGCTTTCCACTTTAAAAAAAGTAATTTGTTACAAATTACTTGTACTCTTACTCTACTAATTACTTTACTACTCCAAAAAGTAAACTAGTTAGTAACTGCATTATTGAAACATTGATATACTTAATATTTGTTATTACCTACACTGGTTGTAAAATGACAAAGTGCAAAAGCTCAAGTTGTCCTATCACTTTTGCAAGGTAAAGTGTCTATTAATGTGACATTTTAATTTCAGACACTTTACCTGAGAGTTTTGATACCAGTGATAACAGCAGCAGTGAAGAAGAGCCCTCATTCAGTGGGACCCCATCAATGAGTGGTGTTCCTGAGTTCTATACCTCCAACTCAGAGCTGGGTCTCTTTTACCAGAGTGTGCTAGTAGCTGTGGAAAGATGGTTTAGTCTTTTTGGCCCGGCTAACGGATCATATCCTATAGATGTTCCCCATACCATGAGAAGGTAAGACCACTGTGTATGATGCACCTCTTTGGACATGGGAAACTTTGTATTTTTCCTTATAGAATTGAGTCAAAAGTTCTGACAAATGAAATAACTAAAAAGAAGAACATACGGTATGTATGTTACCCATATCTGTATCCGCCAATGTAAATTATACTCTTAAAAGGCTCGTGGTGTTTTAGATCTATCGTTGATCTGCTTATTCATCTTACTGGGAAAGCGGTTCCTGGCCTTCCTCACAGCCTGTCCATTTCAGAGGATTTGAACCGGCGCACGTCTCAGCTCATACAACTGTACAAAGCCATATTAGAATTCCTAAGGTATTGTAAATTATAGTAAGGCTGCAAAAAAGTTGTGACACACATTGAGACATATTTAAATTAGATTTGTGAATTGGGTTGAAATAGTGCATAGCATATGTCCAAGTTTTCTAGCGGACAACACATCACTTATATGATTTGGGTTTGCTGCCATCTGCTGGATCATTAAACAAACTACAGGCTGTTATGCTGTATTGTTTCAAGCCTTGGGTAGAACAAGTATGGTTGCGTTTGGCTGAAGTCTGCTTTGTCTTCAGTATCCAAGGAGCCTGTCTCACTTACATCAGACCTGAATACTTATTGGACAAAAATGAATTTCTGCACTGGTGCTCACTTCAGGTGCAACTAAAACCCCATGTTATCTGACACACAATAATTTAAGTAATAATTGACTAACTTGACTTGGTTTTCTGAGTACAGATGAATGATTCGACAAACAGTGTAGACTACAGCAGTATTAACTATGAGTCAATGAGCAAACGTTCATGGATGGATTTGCTGCTGCAGATTTTCAAGGTGAAACTGGGTTGTTGATATGTAAACTTGTATGCTCATTAGGGCTGGGATAAACGATTATTTTTTAAACGATTAATCTAGCGATTATTTTTTCGATGCATCGATTAATCTAGCTATTATTTTTTTCGATTCGATTCGATTCTCGATTATCTCCCCATTAATTGACTAATATTGATGTATACATGTTGATTTAAATATTTTAATGAAAAAAACATGAATTCCTTCACAAAAAATATGTATTGCTTGCTCTTAAAATTCAAAAATAAGACATTCTTAGAGGTAGCATAAAACCTTAAAGCCTTGAAAACGCAGCTTACTGAAAAAAGTGCATCTTATCATTCTTGAAACAAACATTTGATGCTTAGCATTCAATAAAAATATGAAAAAGTTCAGCCAAATACTTGTGTAGAGCAACTAAAAGAAAACAGTAACCAATGTAAACTTGAAGGCTTTAAGCTAAACAAAGAGTGCTTTTCCAGCAAAAACAGTGGGAGCCATCAGCCTGTCATGGCGTCCTTCCTGAACCAACAGAGGGTAACATTTAAGTTGAAGACACATAGGCCTATATTACTGAAGTCCATTAATTAAAGTGCATCTCTTAAATTCTTCATTCATATAAAAATAACAGTCAAAACTCTGCCACTCACCTTTTTCTTAAACTCAAAATTCAAAAATAAAATTCAAGTAAGAGTGTACAAGAGAAAAACAATGCATTGTGTAGCAAATAAAAAGGTCAACCAGTCATCCTTTCTTTTAGAGTTACTGAAAGAATACAGTAGAAGTCATCTCAGAGGACTTAAAACAACATTGAAGTCACCAACACAGATCAGAGAATCGATCAACAGTTAAACACATTAAGGATATTGAACACATGTTGAAAAATGTCCATATACATGACAGTGAATAATACATGTAGGGGCTATTACGGGCGCCAATATTCCGTTTGATACAAAGAAAGACAGACTAGTTGTAAGCTTCATCAGCCTACGTCAGCAGCCGCGGACTGCTATGAAAACATTAGCTTTGTGGTTTCACAGGCGCAGTTGACTGCTTAAACTAAACTTTGCACGAAACTTTGACTCTTAAAACCCACATGTGACAAAACGGAACCATCAACATCTCGCCTCAAATTGCATTAAAAGTGACATTTGTGTCTGAATTCGTTTGTATTTTAACTTTTAAAGAAATTCACGGTCCGCCATCTGGGTTTGCTTCGGCTGCCGTGAGACGCGCATGCGCAAGTTTGCATTACATGATAAACAGCTGAGGCTGTGCATCTCTTCAAGGCAGTGTATCTCAGCGTTACACCGGCTTGCACTTCTCTAACACGGCACTCGCATTGCTACTGCTCGCCGCCATCTTTGTTTTGTGTGTGACGCACCGACGCGCATATTATACGTCGGTGTATTTTTTGCGTCGACGTCACCGATTACGTCGACGCGTTGTCCCAGCCCTAATGCTCATGTATGTGTGATGGGACATTGGTATTACACATTGCCTTTCACCTTGCTCAAAGACGGTCCATATCTATCTCTTGTGCCTTAGGTGTTTATATTATGCCGTGTGCCATGCAATTCAAGAGATTCAAATACAGATAAAGTGGCACCCACCTGCCTGCAGCCGCAAGCCAGCAACATCTACTCACCCTTTGAACTCGAGATACTTTCTTGGCTTAACCTACATTATGAAAGCATGAGGAAGACAGTGTGGACTGCTGGTATATCATATCATTTTGAATCACATGAAAGTGTACAGAGGCTGGAGCAAGCGATGTTTATAATTGTTTCTTCATTTTTAAGATTGCACTCCACCAGCTCGCTGGATTGTAAATTTTGATTTGGATTTTACCAATGGGCTTGTGCTCGCAACTGTGCTTGCTGCCCACTGTCCTTACCTGGTCAGTGTGCTCAAGGTTTTCATTAATGCAGCTTTTGCTGAAAAACAATAAGATCTTCTCAAGAGTTATGTTATAAACCATTTGTGTTTGGTTGAATGTCCTACAGTATTGTCTAATAGGGATTAGAGTAATCATTTATTTTTGTATATGCTATTCACGCTTTTATTTTAAAGAAATTTACTACCTTTTTGTGTGCGTCAGATTGGAAGTGATTTTGGAAGAATGTACACAAGGCCAAGTAGCATGGAAGAGATTCTTCATAATAACATTATAGTCGTGCAAGCATTAACTACACTTTCCCTTAATATTGATATTTATGTAAGTATATCTATATTACAATACTGTAATCAACATATGTATTTGTTTCTTGCTCAATTGTTTTTTTTATATTTAGCCTACAGATCTGTCAGAGCCAAACCCTGTGCAGATTTTAATGCTGTGTGTTCATCTGAATAAGAAGCTTCCTCAATACCAGCCAAGACAAACCATTACATTTTTGGGAAAACTACACTGCACCATTAGTAAACAGGTGCCTGTTTACTAACTAATTTAGAGGATATTGTTTTGTCTAGTTTAGATTAGGGCCCCTTCCACACGTAGTCCTGTATCTGCTAAACCTGACAACATGACAACGCATCATAAACAAAGTGGAGATTTTTGAAAACTCTGTTTATGCATTTGCGTGTAGACCGCATGTTGCGCATGTTGGGAATGTTATGAATGTGATTGAACACGCATATGTTCGGTTATGTGTGGATGCAAAATATTTTATGAACTGAGGGGGGGAAATATTCGGTTTAAAAATACCTGGCTTTGTGTGGACATGGCATAGATCAGATGTTGGGAACCCTTTCAGCTGAGAGAGCTTAAGGCACTAATATAGTTAAAGTATATTTCTGTGAATGCCAAACAATCGTTATTGAATGTGTGAATTTGACTAACAAGAAGTCTCATTGTAAATATGTTTTTAAAGTAACTTACATATTTACACAGACATCACGTCTTAGATCAAAGACCCTGTGCACACCTTGAGCAGGGAAAAATGCTTTCAAATAAGGGCTGATGAGGGCTCAATGAACCTTCATGATATTGCCTAGCTAAGCTGATACTATTTTGACACGTTTCAGTCATACCAATGGTGGAAAGCAAATGCTTGGTTAAACAACATTCCCCAACAGTCTCCAATCTCCTATTGTAAATATTTCTAATATTAACGCAATGAAAGTTGTGCTTCACGCTTTCTTTTTTTTTTTTTAAACTGTGGCCACTGTTAATAGCGATCAAAAAAACTACAGATATCAGGACCCCTCTGGGAGTGTTTGGTTTGTGCTTTGCTTCAGTCGTGCTGCTCGCACGCTTTGAAAGAGACCACTGGATTGTCAAGTGCAATATTCCGAAATGGATATTAACAAGCTTCTGAATTAAAAGTTTAGTTTCAAAGACTTGCCCCAAAGTTATCTGTCTGTGTTGTAGGTTTTAGTAGTTATCACCGTAGCACATCCACATGGTTTCAATTAATAAAAAAAAAAAATCACGATTCACTTTTTCACATTGATTAGAGTATTAACATGATAATCCAAGGAACATGAAGAATAGAAACAAATAGATACGTTCATGAATCGTTAGACAGCACTAGTTATAATTCAGACATGTTAAAATCTGGAAAATTTAATTTTGTTTGAACACAACTCTTCGTTTATTATAGGTCCATCTGACGATACCAACAGCGAAACCTGTCAAATATAAAGTGCTACTATTGGGTAAAGATGCCCATCTCTTCTCCTTACCTGGAGGGTCATCATTCACCTTTTCTCCAAAGTATGTTTTATGTCAGATGTTATCAGATTAGTTTAATAAGTGTTTCTTCTGTTGTAAGTACAATATAAAATTATTTCCTGTAACATAAATCACTGTTATATACACAGTGATTTTCTTGAATATGATTAAGATACATTTGATTTGGGTAATCTGATCACTAACCGAACATATTTTTGCAGAAGTTGTAGTGATCTGTACATCCAGTACAGCTGTGCCTTCTTGCAGCCAAAGGAGGCTGCCCTTCTGCTTGTTGCCAGTTCAACAATTACAGCTCATGGCACCCTGGCTTTTTATCTGAAGACTTGTGTAACACACTTATCTCCCATGGTACGTTACTAAGAGAGTAAGAAAGTTTTTACTGCAACATATATAATCTTGTATGAATTCAAATATTTTTTAATTTAATATCTACTAACACCTAAAGGAGCTTCTTTGATATTCTCACCAGTTAAGTAGTACTTTATAGTTGAGTATTAGAATTAATGTGTGCCATACTGTACATGCTCTTGTGAAAATAGCATAAGTTCATGGGACAAGTCTTGGAGACAGAATTCATATATAACATTTTGCAGTTAAATGTTATGAGTGATTGCCAATACACACTGTGATGATTGTTCCTCCACAACACCAGCCAGAGTGCAAAACAACAAAAATTGTATTCTATGCTTAGAAAATTGTCAAGTGCAGCTCTTCAGTCTACGAGCTCAAGTCAGTCCAGCTGAATGTTTCTAATACTTTCAAATATGATGGCAACTTCAGGTTTGTGAGTTCAATTGCAACTTTAGTTATCAAATCTTCTCATAGTTGATGCGTTTGGTTTTCTTCTGTAGGGTCAAACTTGTCGATTTTTTACACAATCCTCTGAAATCTGAAAAGCTAAACCAGTATCAACAAACTACCTGTCAATCCTGGTAATTATGTTTTGTTTTTGTTTTTTTAACATAAATGTGCTTTATAGGGTATAGTGTAAATTCACCCAACAGAAGTTTTTGCATTAAACATGTTCCGCATAAGATCTGTGAGTTGTCATTAAAGGTGCCTGATTCGTATGCAATTGTAACCCCCTGAGACATCTTCAAAGCGCTAATGTGTCTTCACTTCCTTGTCAGTTATAGATGATGATGATGGGGTCATTTCTGGTTCTTCTCCAGGAAGTTGAGTGTGTTACAATGAAAGGAATAATAATTTGTGTTTTCATCTTTTCATTGCTCCCTCCACAAGTCCCCTTGTGGATAAGCTGACAGAGGACAAATTGACAGACCATAGTAAGCCTTACCGTCAGGATGAATACATGTCATGGCATGAAATAGTTTGATTGTGTTTGTGTTTTCAGATGTTGAAGAAGACACTGAGTTCCTGTGCGCAGTGAAGAATGTCTTTTTGAATTCGGCTCAAGAATGTACTCTGAACATAGACTACTTGCCCTTCAGTCTTGGAAACAGATATTGTTGTGTGCTGCTTACATGTCCACAGGTAACATGATGTTTTCTTATACTTCAAACTAGATTTATGTTAAATTTGTGACAACAGTGTTGAAAAATGTACAAATGTATGTGTGTGTTTTAGTCAGGAGACATGTTTTACATGATTGAGGCCAGAGCGGATTTGCCTCAACCTCTAATACTCTCAGCAAAGTCAAGTGAACACCTTCAGCTGAGTTCTGGTAAGATTATCTACTATTAAAGACGATATCCATATTTGTAGTCCACTGATGCATTTTCACTTTTTATCTAAGATACTTTTGTATCAGTGTTACGTTTACAATGTAGCGCGGGTGAGGTTTGTAGAGAAGTCATCCGTTTGCCCATAATTAATATAGCATGGGAACAAGCACTGGCTATCTGGGGCCAGCGCAGAATGAGTGCTGATGAGCACAGAAGAAGGTCTCTGACACACACGTTGCACAGTAGTAGTGTGAGAAGAGCCACAGCGTTGCACAAACTTAGAAATAAACAGGTCTATTTATTCTCTTTGATTGAATAATATTCTATTTGTTTTGTTTCGTTTCATGTTTTATTTGTCTCTGTTACTTTTAGGCTTTTCTACAGGAGCCTGAAAAGGGGATAGTGTACAGTGTAGAGGTGTCTTCACCAAAATACTTCACTATACCAAAAATAACCGTTACTATCCCTGTAAATGATAGCCCCAAAATTCCATGGGATAATTTAGCAGGTACACTACAGAATTGATTCTGAATTAAAACTTTAGTTTTCACAAATACCTGATTACTTACTATTGTTGTTTTTTTCTTATTTAAGACTGTAGGTGTGTTGAGATCCCACTATGCTTTCAATCTGACTCAGTGGGAACATTTACTTCAAAGATAGTTCTTCAATCCTGGTGTGACACCAGAGTGTACATGTTGGAAGCCATGGTTACTACACAGGTGCACTTAGTTATTATTTGGAACATGTATGACACAATTTATGTCTTAAGATTAAGGGTGTTTTTTGTGGACAGGAACAATCTGCACATTTGTTATTCACCATCCCGGCCCACCGATCTGTCACACAATATATACCACTTGTGAGTCTTTCATAAAGGAAAGCGTTTTTGTATGCACAATCTGATGATCAGGATTGAATCTGTGTTTCTTTCAGTGCAATGATGGTGATCAGGACTTGAACATGAAAGCCACTGTCAGTGGAAATGGTTTTTCTGGCCCTGAAATAATCAACTTGGCACCAGGCACTGAAGCCTGTTATCCCCTGACCTTTCATCCAGACAGACAAGACAGTGTTATGGTAATGTACAAATACTTACATTTCCTATCTTGCTCTCCCTTTTTACCATTTGCATTTGTCATATTCTGTACTCAGACTTTTTAACAGGTAAGTGTCTTTAGTGTGGTCAATTTTTTGTAGAAATATTGTAAAATCCATATGGCAGCTGAAAACAAATGTTTTTTGCTGTCACAGTTGTTCCCACTCTTATGTTAAGTAAAAAAAACTAAAGGATTTGTTGCATTGGCCGGGAATCGAACCCGGGCCTCCCGCGTGGCAGGCGAGAATTCTACCACTGAACCACCAATGCATTTCTGTGAGGATTTTGGGGGAGGGGCTTATACTGCTAACATTCCACAAGCTGTTACGGTCCTCTGCTGTGAAATGATTACGCCCCTAATGTGTGTAATGCTTCCTCAAATGTGTTTGTCTATTTCTCTTGTAAATGTTTTCTCTAACTCCCAGGGCAAGTTGATTTTGCACAATGAACGTAATGGAACTGAGCATGTGTTTACCCTGAGAGGAGTAGGAGAGCAGCCCCCTCCAGTGGACCACCTCGTGTTACACTGTCCTGTCGGAAGAAGCACAAAGGCACATTTAAACGTTCCAAATTACAGCAAGACCAAATTACAACTGAAAGTATGTAGACCTTTCTTTACTATTTCAGGAAAAGATCATTGGCTATTGATATTGTTCTGTTTTGTAATGGATTCTGTTGTGGAACTTGAATGAATATAGGTCGTGACAGATCTATTCATCATAAGTGGCTCAAATGATATGGAAATCAAACCCGGGCAATCTGCACCCTATACATTAATTGTAACACCAACAAAACGAGGAATTAAGAAAGGTTTGGCCATATCATACAATGCATAAATTTCTCTACTATTATTTAAAACTAAACTTGTCTGGCATCTTGTCACTATATATTCATTACTCTTAATATTTGTTTTATCTAAGGCTGTGTCTCATTTGTGGATATGCTCAAGCAAGGTAATTGTGCAGATGTTACTGCATTAAAAAAACACACAATTTGCGTACTCGTTGCAATACTCCTAAAATATTATTTTCCAGGCCAAGAAAGCTGTTATGAAGTGCATTTCACCCTAGATATTATTTGTGAGGCAGCAGAGCCTTTGAAGCATATTCATGTTCAATGTCTTATTCAGGTAGGTTTATTATATAAAAAATAAGTGTGCATTACTGTTTTTTTTTCATTTGCTCTACTGTGATTGGTCCCCAAATCCATGCAAAAAATTCTGCCCAAGTTTCCAGGCTGTATTGCATGCTGCACACAGAGCAGCATGAGTATTCCCAGGCAACCCTTTTTCCATAGTTATCTCACATATAACAATCATTGTCACTTACAGGTCTTAATGCTTAAAGTTTGAGATATTTGCAGTAAATAAGCTGAGGCTATTATGGCATTTTTGCAAACATGAACAACTGGACGTGTGGCAAAAAATACAAAAACATGTATAACACAACTAACTAATACAGGGATATTTCGGAAGAAAACTTACAGGCAGAACAAAAAAACTACTAAAAAATACCCAAATCCAATTGAAGATTTGTTGAAAGACCTGAAAAAATCCGATTTGATAGAGTTTAAGTTTTTAAGAAAAAATTCCACGGTATATATTTTTGCCTTCTATTCACGGTTGTGCTTTCAAACATAAAAAATTAATATTTGTGATGGTAAACATAAAATGTGTAAGTACATTAGAAAGTTACTACATCTGGGTCTGAGATCCAGAGTTTAATTGTTGCCACCTGGATATACAGTATTTGAGGGAAACAACCCCATCCAAGGCCTGGCCTGACCAGCCAAAACCACACAATTTTACATTAATTACTTTTAATTGCAGTGCCTGTGCAAATTGTTTGAAAAAATGTGGTACTTACCTCAAGTAAAACCATTCAAACTGATTGGGCAAATGTTTTGCTTAACCCTTCACAGCAACAAATATCAGTGACCAATGTTGTGCGTGAACGAGTTCAAAAGAACGCGTTCATTGAACACGCTCATTTTTTCGTGAATGTTGAACTGAACGCAACACATTTTTTAAAAAAGAACTTGAATGTGAATTAGTTCATTTTATGTGTCATGAACGGCAGACATCACTATGAACGTTGGAATCTGTTTTCTCTTTTGAAACGCAACGAGAGAAAGTTCCTCTCTCCTGTATTCTCGCACTTTTTCCGCCGAAATCTAAAAAGTCCTACGGTTTCCACCGTCTGTGAACGCACCCCGACTCCGTGTTGCGGTGCGGCGCTGTGAGCTGATGCTTTTTACATGTGCCCAAGTCAGGATGAAAACACAGGGTGAGTTAACAACAAAGTTTACACCGTTTACATTTGACATAAAGTTTAGACACACGGCACTGCAGCGCATTACTGTTTGTAGTTTATGAGCAAAGATGGGGCAACTCCGTTTGGCTCCCATTGAAAACCATATAAATCTTGTCTGTTTTGTAGTCAAAAGGATCTCCTGTGGATGTACAGGAGATAAAATAAAAATAATTGTCCACTCACCTTTGGCCCTCCGCGGGCGGTTATCCCTCTCTAAGCTCGGGTCCTCTACCAGAGGCCTGGGAGCTTGAGGGTTCTGCGCAGTATCTTTGCTGTTCCTAGCACTGCACATTTCTGGACTGAAATGTCCGAGGTTGTTCCGGGGATCCGCTGTAACCACTCTTCTAGCTTCGGGGTCACTGCCCCGAGTGCACCGATCACCACGGGCACTACTGTCACCTTTACCCTCCAGGCCCTCTCCAGCTCCTCTCTGAGACCTTGGTATTTCTCAAGCTTTTTTTCCGGATGTTACCATTGCTTGGAATTGCCACGTCCACCATCACGGCTGTCCTCTGCCCTTTGTCTACCACCACGATGTCAGGTTGGTTCGCCATTACCATTCGGTCGGTCTGTATCTGGAAGTCCCACAGGATCTTCGCACGCTCATTCTCCACCACCTTTGGAGGAGTTTCCCACTTAGACCTTGGGGTTTCCAGCCCATACTCTGCACAGATGTTTCTGTACACTATGCCAGCCACTTGGTTATGGCGTTCCATGTAGGCCTTCCCTGCCAGCATCTTGCACCCTGCAGTTATGTGTTGGATTGTCTCAGGTGCCTGTTTGCACAACCGACACCTTGGGTCTTGTCTGGTGTGGTATATCTGGGCCTCTAACGCTCTGGTGCTCAGTGCCTGCTCCTGTGCAGCCATGATGAGTGCCTCTGTGCTGTCCTGTAGGCCAGCCCTTTCTAGCCATTGGTAGGACTTCTTGAGATCAGCCACTTCTGTTATGCTCCGGTGGTACATGCCGTGTAGGGGCTTGTTCTCCCATGATGGTCTCTCCTCCAGCACCTCCTCATCTCGCCACTGCCTGAGACATTCACTGAGTACGTCATCCGTTTTGGCCTTCTCTATGATGTAGTTATGGAGTTTGGATGTTTCGTCCTGGACAGTGGCTCTCACACTCACTAGTCCTCGGCCTCCTTCTTTACGGCTTACATACAGTCTCAGGGTGCTGGATTTGGGATGGAACCCGCCATGCATGGTAAGGAGCTTTCGAGTTTTAACATCCGTGGTCTGAATCTCTTCCTTTGGCCACCTGATATATATATATATATATATATATAGTTTGTAGTGTGAAAAAAATATGTATTTATCTCACGAAAAAAGTAAAATTAACTGAACTTTGAACTAGTTCAGAATTAAAAATGTGAACTTTGAACGTGAACTGTTCACTTTGAGCATGTATGAACTGAACTTGAACTAGTTCAGAAAAGCTGTGAACTGGCACAACACTGTCAGTGACATACCCGGAGTTTGACTGTTTGCCTATTTTACATTTAGTGTTATTCACCTGTGTCAAACTGGAGGTAATCTACCCTGTCATGACTATCAAAGCAAATACAATCTTGTGTTTCCAGAATAATGTTGCCATAGAGTTACCAATCAATAATCCATGTGACGACCAATTAAACCTGGACGTTTACCTTGAAGGTGATGGTCTCAGTGGTGACAAATTCTTTTCAGTTCCTCCCCAAGAATCTCTAAACTACAAAATGATCTATTCCCCTTCTGAGATTGGAAAATGTATGGGCAGGCAAGTGCATTTCCTATGGATGTATAATGATGTAAATGTAAATTAGGAATCTTGTTTGCTTTTGAATAATTTTTGTTTTTTCTTTCAGTGTTGTTTTTCAGTCTGAATTAGATGAATTATGGTATCATCTAGAGCTCTATGCACTGCCTCTCCCAGTTGTAGCGCTCCCTGAGATCAAGTGTCCCCTGGGAAAGTAAGTTGGGTTGACAAGGACATTTCATTAGGAAACCTATTGCAAACAGTTTTTTTTATTAAAGGAAATGTGTTTTGTATGAAAATCAGATGGTCAAAAATATCCCTCCCGCTAGTAAATCCAACAGCTACACCAGTGGAGATCGCCGTAATGAATAATAACGACAGAAACTATACGCTAGAGATGGATTCCAACAATGTAAGTTTTAACACATATTGTTACTGGCTTAAAATCTAAAATGGATACTTGTAAAAATTATTTGTGCAATGTCTATCGACTAAATCACACAATATCAACTGTCACTGTTGAATTACGCATTTAGTTTACGGTTTGTATTATTTTAACAAGGATATTCAAACTATAATGAAACCCCATAAACTATAAAAAGAATCGTCTGGATTTAGAGCTGTGCGTTTCCAAGCAGTGCAATGCAGGGGATTTGTCTTTAACCACATATATCCTTTTGTGTCTTTTCCAGCTTACTCTGCAGCCCCACTCCTCCTCTCAGCTTGTTGTACGTTTCAGTCCTTCATCTGTTGGGGAAAAAGACCATAAAGCAGAGATTACTTTCTCATCCTGTCATGTAATCACAACTATTAAGTCACCTTTACTGACTCTTATTAGCACCAAATGTGTTTTGTTTTTTTAACACTTGCATTTTGTCATTCTCCGAAATTATTATGTGCCGTAATAAGAAGGATTTAATAATACACTTTATTTCTTTGGCACCTTTTTAGATACTCAAAGTCACCTTACATAACAAGTAAAAAGAAGTTTTAGGGAAGATTTGAAGTGTGTGAGTGAATCAGTGTTTTACGGAGGTAAGAGGGAATGTGTTCCCGAGTTAGGTAGCAGAGCAGCTGAAGGCTGTACTCCCCATGGTGACAAGGCAGGCAGGAGGGACAGAGCTGTAGAAATAAAATAATGTTGGTGACCATATTGGGATCACCAAAAACCGTCAAGATGGCCATATGTGTATATACATTATATTCATTATTTAAGATAATCACCAAATTGTTTCAAGTGTTGTATTTTTCTAATTGCACTCTGTATAGTTGGAGCCGTGGACGTTTTTACTTTGTGGATGTGGCCTTAATCCAGAATCTGAGAAGCCAAAGAACATTTCAGCCAAGATAGGCTCATGGGCCTCCACCAACATTCCTTTTTCTAACCCCACTCAGCACCAGGCTTTGCTTCGTGTAACACTGACAGGTCACTGACTCTTCTGACAAGCATATTCAAAGAGATTGTTGTTCCATTATTTGTACTTATTTTACAGATAGCCATCCAAAAGAGAACCAAATCTGCAGCAGTTGTTTTACAGTCCCCATGAGCCACTTGAAAGGTGTGTTACAATTGGTTAACTAATTTCTGAGATTTAAATTAGGGAACAAAGCTCTCTATTTGTGCACTGGTGATAAACTGAAGGTATATAATCTAGGCATTTTATTCAAAGTGAAAAACATGATTTTACACTTTCTTATTGAGAGCCATATTTGGTAAACTACAGAGAATGTTAGCTCTATTGATCACATACATACGATCTTATGTATTATTATCTAGTGTTCATTATATTATGGAAAGTGCATTAATAAGTAAATTTATATAAAAAGCCCCTTAGGTGCCTACTTGTAGTGTAAACCAAGAACTGTATAAATAATATAATTAGATTGAATTATTTACTACTTTTTACAAAGTCAAAATTTGATTCTGAGTAATATAAAGCTGAAGTTAAATCTTGTTTACATCGTATAAACTTCATACTTTCTTATGTAAGCCTTGATAACTGTGTAATGCATGAAGAACACTTGTTGTGTCACAGGTATGCAGGTTGAGCTGGAGCCTGCATCAATGTTCCTGTTGTTTTCACACCAACTTCTATGGAAACTCACAACGCTTGGCTCTCGGTTACTATGGAGTTCCCCAATGAGGTTGGCATCAGCTCATCCTGTGATGCCCAGAGTCAGAGGTTTGTTTATTTTAGATGTTATATTTATTGTACATGTCGGGGGAAACCAATACTGTACTTTTAAGTTTTACTTGTTAGTGTTACCGTACTGATGATGTGTTGTTGCATTAGTCATCTGTAAACAATACTGTACCTTTAAGGTCCTTAAACTGATACATGCAAATTAGCTCCAGATGGAGTAATTTGACTTAAATATGTGATCGATTTTATATTTTATAGCATCTACTTACAGACTCCATGATGTTTTTTCTATGAAAATTGAATATGAATATTTCTAAACTTTCTGTGGCCCTACAGATAGTCAGGTGAAATTAGAACTTTACTCTCGACCGAGGATTTTCCCCACATCTCTATAATAAATCATACATTTTGATAAGTCCAGGCCAATGCTCTCTATGGTCCATACAGTAATTCTGTTAACTGTAAACTGTATTTCGTCATGTCAATTGGTATTAAATTTTTATTTTAGGTCAACTCAAGATTTGTCCACCATCTGTTGGACCTACCCGCTCTGTGGGATTCCCACTGAAGCCTCTGTTGAGAGCCAATCGCTTGGCGTAATGCAGTGTGAAGCAGGCTGCCAGCGAGAGAAGATAGTTGATGTACAGCTTGTTGGTTGTGCGTTGGAAAAACAACAAGGTATGTGACGTTTATCTGGTTACTTTTTTTGTTTTAAACCTCAAATACATAATCTAACAAGGAAGATTCATCTTTACATTTACTTTTTGTATGCAGTGACAAATGAATACTTTGCATGTAAAGTACACTCGGATTGTAAAGCGATTCAAGTTGAAGAAAGTATTTGTGCCACTGTTAAAACGGCAAGGAAAGATCTCATCTCTGGGGCCATTAAACTCACTCTTCATATCCTCTTCAGTCCACTCAAGCAAAGCCTGTCACAGTAAGATAACCAAATGTTGCATTTCTAAACATGCTAATGCTGGGTGTACACAAACTCCGACTTTTGTGCGGGTCATATTTTGACCAGTTAGACAAGGTGCAGTCCCAACCGTGAGTCCGAACGGTCCTCCACCAAAGTACTAGTCTGTGTACACCCAGTGTAAATGTAGTCTTTGTGACGTTTGACAAGACAAGACAGTCCACAGATGCGAGTATATTTTCTATTCAGAGCAAATGGAACAGTGTACATGGGAAACAGAAGTATTGCAAATCCCAATTTATATAAAAAGGTTGGCTCCCACTGAGAAGGAAAGAAATTGAAATATGCCAAACTTTTTGCAGACAGAACTTCCTTTACACATTACTCAATAAACAACAGGAATGCACAGACAGTGTCTACTGTGTAAAGCATTGATAATGTACTTTAGCCTTTAGTGGTAAACACTGCATTCATGGTGCTCTCTCTCACTACTGCAAAATGTTTGCCTCGCTGTATCCTTAAGTGTGCTTGTCTGCATTCATTTGTTACTGTCTGTATTTGCTGACTCTTACAATGTGAACTGAAAGGTTTCCCTGACCAGAACCTTGTTCATAGCCTCCAGTCATGTACAAACATTGCTTTAAAGGTCGGTCATGTTTCTATACAGCTATCATTTGCTGAAATATGGGAGCTTTTCGTTGGTCTGAATACTTGTCATCTGTACTGAGAAGAAATGTACTGTGCAAGACACCTGCTGTGCTCAGACTGTGTTCATTAACCAGCAGCTTCATTTGTTCAGTCCATTAATGAGGCATGTCAAGGCAGAATCAATATTGCTGAGAGCTAATGGCTTCTGCATGAGCAAATAATGGGCAATGTATGGCCTCTATCAGACCCTCCATTATTTACAAAGAAAATAGGATGTTTTGGAATAGTGTGGGAAATGTAAATTCATTTGCTTTAGTAGTGTCATGGCCATCAGCATCTACTGATGTACAAAGTTAAAACTACACAAAGTACACAGTACACAAATAATGTTTGGATCACTCATTCTGAAAAAACAATTGGGCTGACTTGATGCTTTTCTTTCCCACTTGAATCTGTTTCCTTTAGCGCAGTGTTGTATTAAAATGTCACACTTTTTAATGTTCATATTTAAATGTATTTCTTAAGGTACAAAGCATCAGTTATTGTGGAGTGTGTTTCTGGAGGCTCTTGGAGGTTTCCAATCACTCTGAATGCCACAAAACCACAACTTGATGATGTCATTCACATCAAAGCACCTGAAGTTGGAAAAACCTCATCTGTGGGCTTCAGGCTCACAAGCACATTTCGGTAAATTTAACTTTTTCTGAATTGACATTCTCAAAATAGGATCTGAAATCCCCAAACCCCCTTATAAATATTGTGTTACTGAGTGTTTTTGTAAACTCTCAGTCATACAGGGATTATTCAAAACAAAGAAACGTTGCTCACCTCATCCGTACTGATGATGGGTGAGCAACCTTCCTTTGTTACTGAATATTTCTTATTTTTTCATCACATCTCAGTACATGTCTCCAACTTATCTTTATAAATGGTCATGGAGTCGCCTACAGTCAGACCATCATTTTACTCATAAATGTAAAATGTGCCGCTCTTAACACTAATGCAATTCTCCATCTTTTAGTGTTCGAGAATGGCATTAACGGGGAGACAGCTTATAGTGATGCAGGGCCGTGGACTCACAGGCACGGACCCTTCCTTTTTGTTCTGAGAATACCATTTCAATTTCAGGAATTAAGTCAAACAAACTGAATAAACCTTATTAATTTCATTATTAATAATATTTGAATTTTATTTTACAATTGGTGAAATTCCTTTTCAATACACTGCAACCGTGTATTTTAATGTTGAGTTTATTTGTGTTTTGTAGAAACCCAGAACCATACACTGCAGTGTTTTTGCCAGGGAGCAGCAATGAGTTCAAAGTGGCCTCTAGATCAGGGATGCTGCCGCCCATCAACTCGACTGGTACGCTCATCACAGTGTCCTTCACGCCGCGCTCAAACAGCAGGAGAAGCCGAGCGAGGCTTCAAATCAAGGTGATCACAAACCAAGCAGTAGAAAAAATATGCATTTTAATCATTGAAAGTGCAATCAACAGTTTGCATTGTTGTTTTAGGCTGCAGCCAAGCTCTGGACCTATGAGGTAAAAGGAAGCATTCTTCATAACTCACCAAACGATGGGTCCTAGAGAAACTCGTCCACAATCTGCGCATTCCTGAATTGGTCAATTAAGGAATGCAATTAGATAGTTTCCTAAGAAATCTCCATGTGATGTGGCTTGACAATATATGTTATACAGAGAGACTCATCATCAGTATCTGGATTGTGTTTATAGATTTTATTAAGATTTTATCACCTTCCACATCTCCAAAGATGGTGATATTTACTCTCTAAACTTTCTATAATCTTGTCTTCTTCCAATATTTATCGGGTTTTTCAGCCTTACTGGAAGAGCTGATTTAGCCAATTGTGTTTCTTAAAACTTAGGGGATTAAAGATGCAGTAAGCATTTTTTTTTAGCTTAGCACCAACTCGAAACCACTCCCCCCTCCCCTTGCCTCTCCACCAAACCAAACATCCAGCATTTTCTTTTCTTTCTCACAACAGGGAGGGTGGGTGGCAAACGTGAAATTGGCCTTTTCTGTTCAACCATTTTAGGTTATACAAAATAATCCAATAACTCAGGTGCACTCGCGAGAAACAGGAAGAGGGTGAAGGGGGAAACACATCCCATCGGTTTATTTTTATCGGTCGGCTCCAAAATATTATTTATTAATTTTTGGAGACTATAGACATCTGGTCAAATCCATTACTATTTGAAAATACATGATAACTTGACTACTTTTAGGGTTTAGGGACGTTTTCCCACAATATTAAAAAAAAAAACCAAATGCGTCTGGAAAAAATCACTGACTGCATCTTTAAGTTAAGTCTTAGGTAATTAATGATGGGGCTGAGGATTTCAGCAACTTTTGTTATAACTTTTCACATCAATTAGAAAGTTTTCTTAATCAATAATATATTTTCTTTTTCCAAACCTAGATAATAAATTACGTTCTCCCGTAACCACTCGACCAAGGCATTTTCAATTTCCCTTAAAAGGGCCTCAAAGTCCACACATTTGGGGAGCTATTTTATCAAATTACATCCCCCTCTCTGGACTTTATCTGGATTTTATCAAATTTATGTGTTTGAATATGCATTTTTTTTTATTGCAGTTGGTTCATAACTTCAGTGTGTTTGTTAGTGTGTCCCTCTCTGTGTATTCATGTATAGAGCTGTCCTATGTCTCACCTTGTGGCTGTGGAATTATTCACAAGGCAGTTGCGCTCAGTTATGCGTCCATTAAGGACCATCTGCAGACTGCTGGGGCAAGAATGGAGGGACGCTATAGCGCTACAAAAATAGAGTGGATAAGTAATAGATGAAGAAACAAAGTATTGGTGAGACATGGATGATTGATTAGAGAGGAAAGGATGGGTGCAGCATACAACAAAGTAAACATACAGTATATTTCCACATCCCAGTGTTTTGATTTAACAGAGAATGCACAGTAAGTTAGGTCTGGTATATTGCCATAACAAAAAAACTGAAATATTCATGGCAAAAAAAACCTTAAAAATAAACAAGTATATTCATACAATATATTTGGTGTGATTATCTTTGATAATGAAGCTAAATAGGAAGACCGAAGAATTACCAACCCCTCTCCTCCCCACCTCTGCCTCATTCCAGGCCAGCTCCTTTATCCTTCTCCTAGCTACCCCCACCAGGGTCTAGGCCCTGGAGAATTTCATCTCAGTCTTTTTCCTCTTCGGCAATTGTGCAGTGCTTTTCCGGGGTCTAAGCACCAAATCCTAACCACATTCTGTATATCACAATAAATGTTATCTTAAATTGTCCTCAGTGTCATAGTGTCATTTATGTAGTGTCGGGTTACTTACCAAACATTTCTAAGACAAAATGTATTTTCCTCCTTGTCTGACTTGCCAGTGCCAACTTACCAATTGCAAAAAGTAAAACAAAACAAAAATTGAATCACAGAATCATCACATTCTTTCAAATTATACACAAACATACTTGATGGGAATTATATCTAAGTGCTGTAGTTCTCTTGTTGTGTTTCCATTTCAGCAAATGTATCCATCCGGAAAATATATGACATGATATCTGACATGTAAAATGCTCTTTAAATAAACGGTGATGAATATAAACATTGCGATTAACTTTGATAGCTTGACAGCTGAGCCATATGGCGCTGCGTGGACTAATCCAGCCTGCTTCTCTGACTTTCCTAAATGGATTATCTACTTGGCTTCTTAATACCATTTCATTTTTATTTTGTCACAGTGAGTCATATTCCCATACATCACTCTCACTGGGATTCAATTAGCACACTGGTAATTAAGCATGGGGCTCTCACTTCCTGAAATGCACACAAAGTTATCTGACAAGCTGCCAGTACGAGTCAGTGCTAAAGTGTGTGTGTGAACTTTAGTGAAAATCTAGAGAGTGGCTGATGCAACTTACCCATATCCAGCCTGTCTGGTGAACATGACCGAGGAGACTGAGAACAAGCTCCTCAAACCATTCTTTCATCTTCTACAAACTGATGCATTTCATATCGGCACGGTGGCTGAGTGGTTAGCACTCTCGCCTCTCAGCAAGAAGGTCCTGGGTTCGAATCCCGGCCGGACCAGGGCCTTTCTGAGTGGAGTTTGCATGTTCTCCCTGTGTCTGCGTAGGTTTCCTCCGGGTACTCCGGTTTCCCCTACCACTAAAAATATGTACAATAGGTCTGGCATGCGCCTCCTGTTCGGCGACCCCGCTCCCATCTCTGTGTGGAGTGAGAGGACAAGTGCCCAAAAAATAACAATTGTAAACCGCTTTGTGACTCTGGTCTGTGAAAGGCGGTATATAAATAAAGCTTACTTACTTACTTACTTACTTACTATATCAAAGGAAGTAACAAGTTATACTCTGTCATTATTTGTTCTCACATTTAAACGTAGAGTTCCCTGGTCTCTATTGTACCGTTCATTATGCTATACTCGCTGGTTAAATGATAACAGCCCAGAATTTGATGTTTTTAACACATTGCTTTCTGACAAAATGGAAACAAGGAAAGCTGATGGCATCAATCACCGATTCAGTTGAAATGAGTTGGATTGGTGATTAGATTATTTCCTTCTGGGCAAGATAAGGAAGAGTTATGATTATTTACAAAGTGAAATTTTGAGAAACTATATTTTCAAATCTATAGACCTACTACTTGTTGTAAAAGATAAATTATGAATAGTTCCACAACTTTCTTATGCTTTTTTGAGTTTTGATTACATTTAGCAGATACTGTTTCCTTTTCAGTTACTGTAATGTACAGGGGGAATACATGAAGATTCCGTTGACCCCTGTTTTAGACAATAAGTACTTTTTGTGTCAAGTCGCCCTTGACATAAAATTAATATATACGTGAGTGTACTGCAGTTATTCACACCACTAAATGGAAATGAGTATGAAACCAACGGTATACAATTCAGCTAGATCTTAGAGTGGTATAAACATGTTTCACCGGGACATATGTGTGAAGATAACCAACATGTAACTATATAATCCTTATATTTTTGATATTCTTTGCTCCTCAGAAAAAGAATAGAAAATGGTACAATCTTTAATAACGTCATTAATCTAAAGGCCTGCTGGATTCATTGATTCTGTGAATAGTCTGGTCGCAAATGCAGTCATGTATGCAGATTTTTTTAGACCTTGGTCCCTACTCAATAAACTACACATTTATCCAGATCTAAGTGAATGCAAAAACTGTCAATAAACCATTTCTGGAGGCTGTTTTGGATTAATGTGTGAATAACTGATGTATTTTTTCAATAGACCTGCTATTACCATTGAGGGAGGGAGGGAAACTTTGGTTCCTCCAGCAGCATGTCTCTTTCACCTTGCCTGACTATCTGCTGCCCTTGTCGGTCTCTGTTCTCCCCCTGCTCTCCCCCTGCCATCTTCCAGTCTCATCATCACTCATTATTGTCGGGCCAAACAAGGCCAGGCGCTTACTCCCATCACTCTGCGCTCCTCACTTTCCGCTCGGATAACCATATGGATGGATCGTGCTGGTGAACACCTCACAGACCTATCCTTGTTTTGCTCCGGCCTTCTCCTTGCCTCATCTCCGGCTCCATTAGTATGCATAAAGGAAGAGTAATATTCCTCCTCACAGCATCCCTCAGTGTCTTATTGAATTTAATTACGCGACTCAGGGTTCTTAAAGTGGAGACAGAGTAAATGGGCTAATGAGGTGAGATCATTTATCTGGTTTGGACTGCTGTACAAAGCCTGGTGCACGGTTTATGTTTGTACCTACATTTTACAAGTTATACACTATTTAGTTGTGTTAACTTAAGCTTGAAAAAACAATTATTAAAGCTACGCGTTCTGGATTTGTCAGGTAGGTCCTAATTTCCATATTACATAGTAGAAAGGATCGATCATACCAGTTTCCCTCACAAGAGTCATGACTTTATTATGAACACAGTTTTTCAAATAGGAGCTTTGAGAATTTAGTAAATAGTCTATATGTTTACAAAATGTACTTTTAGAATAATGGGACAGATAAAATGCTGTTTTGGTTGAGTAACCTTGCTTTAACTGAAGCTTAGTCTACATAGCTTTTGTCAGTGTTTTGCAGCCAGTGTGCTGTGGCACTCCTAATTGGCCTAAAAAATGTGAGAAGATTAAAAATAGTTTTTTGAGCTTATATGATTTTTTGGTAATACACTTTGATTAGAATGACTTTTCTCTGCTGACATCGAAATCCATGTTTTGTTTTTACATCCATTTCAGTTAGTGCCATGTGTTATCCTCTCAGTGAAAAAGGTGCGACATGGCTCAAAAGGTTGGGGACCACTGACCTGTATGTAGTAGACAGATACTGTATGGGTCTAGACCTAGACTGTGGGACACAGACTGGGTGGGTGCTGTGACTTGTCCCCAGTCTCTAGGACCATGTGGCACGTCCGGGTCCCATGGTGCCGTGACGTCAGCGCGCCACAGTGGAGTCTCCAGTGCGCCTCAGCAGCGGTGCCAAAGGCGCAGGGACTGTGCGGCTCTACGCAGCAGATGCAGCCGCAGTAGAACCACCGTCTCCGCCCTGAGCCTCTGTGTGCAGCCTCTTCTGCACATCCTGTGTCTCTTCTGTCTGCCGCCATGTCCTCCGCTGTCACTGAGACCCAGGAGTCCAGCCGCAGCTCCCCGCTCACTCCGCTGAAGCTGGTGGGACTTGTGTGCGTGTTTCTGGCGCTGTGCCTGGACGTGGGAGCCGTGATGAGTCCCGCGTGGGTGACCGCTGATGACCAGTACTACCTGTCTCTGTGGGAGTCCTGCTGGAAGCCAGCGAGCACTGAGAACTGGCAGTGCAGCAGCACTTTAGGATCAGGTACGATGTCATCTTACTTTTTAGCCTTCTCCTTACGCATCATCATGGGCAGTTTCATCCATGCGCATTCAGTCTCATTACTAAAAAGTCTCGCTCTTAAACACTTGCACTTCTGCTTTTACCTCACACTATATTATCAGTATGTCTTGTTCAAGCTTATTACATTTACCAATCTAGTCAGCTTCTCAATCTCTATCACTAATCAGTATTGTAATATAGTGATCTTGACATTGAAACAAACATCATCTGTGGGAACGCTCTGACACGTCCTTGCCGGTGTTTAGACAGCGCCATTGAGCCATAACAAAAGCCAGTGTTGACAGCTGTGTCCATCCTTGTCTCCATTGGGACCTTCACTTTTTGTTATCTATAAGTGGTCTCTATATCTTACCTGCAAACATATTGTACATCCAAATTTATTCGCTGAGTCCAGTTTTACAAATTGAGAGTGCTACAAGTCTGATGTACGAATATGCATGATCACTATTGTTATGTTTGTCAGGTTTTGTTCTATCAAACCACAAAAACAAAAAAGTCAGTGTCTTTTCACTGCGTTTGTCTATTGCTGAGTTGTTTGAATAATACAGGTGAAGGAGGATAGGGTGTAATTCTGGCTGTCTGAAGCAGTTTGTAGGGAGAGGAACATTTGGGTTTAATTGAGACAAAGGGGTCTACTTTATTACGTCTGTGATGGAGGAGGCGACAAGTGGCTAATCACACAGGGGCTTTGAAAGTGAATTATTGAAGAGTCTTCCTCAGTGGAATGACCAAGCTCTGCCCCACATGTTTACATTTAACTCTTTTCCTCGTTTCAACAAGATGAAATTAATGCCTGATTTGTCTGTGAGAAATTTCAAGACACATACAGTACGCATTCCATCACTTTTATATAGATACAATCCCAGTTTAGTTAGGCCGACAACAGACCTCTTTCTGAAATGTAGTTCCCTTTTAAACTGTTAAAATGTGCATCGGCAGTTGTTGTTACTTCTTAAATACAAAATAAAACATTCAAGTTTATTAAAGTGGTTCCCAAAGTCTGGATACTTGTTGTAAAAGGCAGTAATTGTTAGAGAATTACATAACTATATCTGTAAGTTTGTACGTATTTGGGTCATGTCTCTCAATGTCTCTGCACTACAAGGCATAACTTATTCATTGGATTTGTATTTATTGTTTGAAAAAAATTGTTAGATAAAATTGGCTTGTTTTTGTTCTACTTTGGTTTAGATCCCTCCCTCAATGTGGTCCTCCCCAACGTTTTCCCCATTTTCTCCCATTTGGTTTTTTAGAGGTTTTTAGACAGTGGTGATACTCGACATTCAATGACATTTTTCTGCCCCTTATGGACCAATGGCGCTCTGTGTTTTTTTATTTTTTTTTATCATTGCATTTCTTGTGATTGAACTGTTTGATTCTCTGATCTGGGTTGGCGAATCAACAGCTAGAACCAGATTTGATGATGAGCACTTGTGTTTCGTTGGAGGCAGCCAATCTATACTTCTTGTTTTGAATTAGACATTGACCATTTTGTCTCACTCAATTTATATTCTATCAGCTGTGCTAATGGAGGGCATTTACCTCAAGTAGATCCAACACGAACATGCCGATCCATAAAGCTAATGTAGAGTCAAGTACACCTTAGACCTTTACCATGTGTGTCACTTTAAGTAGATTTTACACCAAGGAACAAGCAAAATGATAATACATAATCCCTCATTGGTAAAACAGACTTGCATTATTTACCTGCCTATAGCATGGAGTTTGGATCTTTCTGCTTGGATGTCTGGGTGGGTTTCCTCTGGGCGCTCCGAGTTCTCCCACCATTGTACAGCAGAGAATATTTGCTGAATAAACAATAGTAACAATATCAGCAGGTAAATGACAGAAATATCAGATTGATTTAAATGTAGTAATGCAGAAATCATAATAATAAAGTAAGTGACTAGTGAAATATCAGTGACTCTTGAACAGACTCAGCCGTTCTTGTTGTACAGTCTGACAGCAGCAGGGAGGAATGACCTGCAAAAACTCTCCTCCACACAGAAAAGGTGAATAAGTCTGTCACTGAAACTGCTCTCCAGAGAAAGATGATTGGACTATTGCTGTAAAACAAGAACAAATGGATTCCTTGAGTTGTCTGTTGAAGAAGTCAGCTCAGCGCCCTGTGTGTGTTTCTCTGATTTGTCTATCTCTGTCCACTTATATCTCTGTGGGCGTGAGAGCCGCAGATTCATGGCTGTCCACATGTCAGCCCATAAATTGGAGTGTGTCTACATGCGTGTGCCATTAAGGGCTACTCGCATGTGGAGCTGACCTATTTCTGGACAGTCTCCTCTGAAGCCCAGGCTGAATATTTTATGTCACACTTTTTGATTTCTCCGTTGTTGCGTCTCCGCTGCACCTTCCCTCCTCTCTGCGGACACACAATCTGACACGTTTTCTGCAGACATAACTTCTAGCCTCTGCTTTTGCTTCTCTCTATTTTTCTACCCGACCGGCTAATGAGATGTATGGGCACAGTGCGTTTAGATCACTGCTTATGCTAACTCCCTGAGCTGGTTTCCACACATTTCCACCATTGTTTACCTCTCCCCTACCTATAGTACTATTGTGAGCTCATTTGATCTCTACTGAAAAAAAAAGACCTTACTGAAAAAAGGACTGGCGATAATGCGTTTAAATTGTACATTTAATAATAATAATGAATAATACATCAACTTATGTCGTGCTTTTTGTACATCAAATAGAGCATAGACTAATGGCATAACACTAGATAAGATTTGAATATTGATTCAACCAAGTGACCCTAAGATTTTAGAACAAAAGCTTCCATCCATTTTCTTCCCCTTAATCCATTTCTGGGTCGGGGGGGTGGCAGTCAGAGCTACACCGTTCACAGAGCACCAGCCCCTCACTGATCCTCCTGCAGGTGCTGAGTCCACAGGAGCCGAGATCTTTCAGCGGGGGCTTCAGGCAAAATGGGGATAAGTGTCTTGCCCAAGGACACAACGACAGCAGTCATCAGTGGGAATCGTGAAGTAGGTCTCATGGTGGGCTTGAACCCACAACCTTCAGGTCCAAAGGCCAATGCTCGACCAACTGAGCGACTGTCAACAGAACAAAAGCTTCAAAATACATACAAATTACATTTCATTGCAAACGATCTGAAAAGTATTGTAACGACGCTGACATCTCAGACATCATTGATTTTGTGCCTTTTTCTGAAAGCACCTCTTTGTGAAATGTCACAATTTTGACATTTGTCACATATTTCACTTTTTAAAAAGTCAAGGTATTTATTGCACAGTCCTACTTGCAGGTAGAGCCCCATTGTTCAAATGCATTATGGGCACATGTGGTCCTGCTGTGCCACTCTTAAAGCAGTTAGTGGATTATAAAGAGCCAACACAGCTCTATAGTCCGCTTACTGCTTTATGAATCCAACTAATTTGCCCGTTATTATATAAAAATTGTCAACTGTGGCCTGTGCAAAGTGCTTTCAAATGTGTATAGTGTTCTGTGAAGGTGAAATCAGAATGTAGATTATAGACCGTATGAAATCTTGTGCCCATTTTGGATCAGTTTTAGTTATGTAGAACCCCATAGATAGATAGACAGACAGACAGAATTACTCCCACAGATCCTTGTGGGAGAAATTCAGGTGTCCAGCAACAGACGCACATCCATACAAACACATAAGTTCATGAAATCTAAACATTTCTAACTAAATAACTAACTAACTCATCACAAGAGCCCTGTTTATTGAATGCAATTGCTGATATTACATTACTCTAACCATAATTTGTTCAGCATTTAGTTTGTGTCCTCTCAATTGCCTTCTCAGTCCCCTTCTACAGCGCACCCGACACATATATGCGCGGCTGAATGTATAATGTGATGATTCGCGGACATCCCTCTCCTGCAGAATTGAACGGCTGTAATGCATGCAGACAGGGCACTGACTGATCACGTAATACTGTAGGAATGCTTGGTTTGTCAACACGCTCGCTCTCTGCTGAGTAATTAGACTAGAATAAGAAAGAAAGACATTAGAAGGATGATCGGCTGTACAGAAAATGCATTGAGCCTGTAATTGGTTGTTTTGTTATTGGATTTAGCTTCTGTAACGGTCTGTAACGATATCATAATGAATGCAATAGCTTTCAAATAGCAAAAGCCACACCTGATATTTAGCCTACTTTTGTTCTTTGTCTCACTTTCACTACTCCAGGCAATTCACCTCCTTTCTTTCAGCTCTTTTGAACCTGGCATATTGTGTTCGGTGTCTGGGGTAGGAGCTGACAAATGTTGAAAATCAATGGAAATCCCACACTCCAGCAAGATTATCATTCACCAAGGCAAGCCCTGTTTAAAACTCCTGCGAAAATCCATGTATTAGTAGACTGTAGTTAAGTAGAATAAAAAATTACAATGTGAAACTAATATGGCAGAGCTTTTGTTGAATACAATTATATGTGTTATTTTTTGTGAATAGAGAGGGGAACGAAAAGAAAAAGAAAAAAAGTTAAATTTTTTGGAATGCAGCGTTCAAAGACCAAATTTGTGGAATATTTGCTTTTTACGTAGCAAGATTTTCATGTCAAGTCATCATCAAAGGGCCCTAATCTGTCAAAAGGCATTACTAAAACCTGCTCTTTTCCAATACCTGTTTAACGATAACAGTAGTTCAGGGATATTTGGATTTCAAAATAAGTTTTCCAGCCCCTAAATCTTGTTATTGTTTTCATTTCGTTGTCCCGCCCTCCACCGTTTGACCAATCAGAAAGTCTGTGATCCGGGCGCCAGAACTCACCGTGTGGAGCTAATCTCACTGGTAAAGTACCATGTGGCGCAGAACTAAAAAAGGTCTCGTTATGATTCTCAAATCATTAACGACAAAACAAGGAATAAAACCAGGATTTCTATCTTTGTGAAAAAGGTGTTGGTTATAGATTTGTTGTTGACATTATTAAGATATTATGGTCCTAGCTGGATTCGTCTGCATATCTGGCAACCTGAGTCCTACATACATACATACTGCTCCTTAATTACATGAAACCAAAAAGTC